AAGGATGTGAGGGAAAAGGTACATTCATACATTGCTGGTGGGACTGCAAATTGGTGCAGCCAATATGGAAAGCAGTATGGAGACCCCTTGGAAAAACGGGAATGGAACCACCATTTGACCCAGCTATCCCTCTCCTTGGTCTATACCCAAAGGACTTAAAAACAGCATACTACAGAGACACAGCCACATCAATGTTTATAGCAGCACAATTCACAATAGCTAAACTGTGGAGCCAACCTAGATGCCCTTCAGTGGATGAATGGATAAAAAAAATGTGGCATATATACACAATGGAATTTTACTCAGCAATAAAAGAGAATAAAATCATGACATGTGTAGGTAAATGGATGGAGTTAGAGAAGATAATGCTAAGTGAGGATAGCCAATCCCCAAAACACAAATGCCAAATGTTTTCTCTGATACAAGGAGGCTTACTCATAGTGGGATAGGGAGGGGGAGCATGGGAGGAATAGATGAATTCTAGATAGGGAAGGGGGTGGGAGGGAAAGGAAGGAGGCAGGGGATTAGCAAGGATGGTGGAATGTGGTAGACATCATTACCCAAAGTACATGTATGAAAACACGAATTGGGTGTCAACATACTTTAGATACAAACAGATTTGAAAAATTGTGGTATATATGTGTAATAAGAATTGTAATGCATTCCGCTGTCATTTTTTTTAAGTCAATAAAAAAAGAGAAATGGCAAAATAAATAAATAAAATGGTTGAGTTTATTCTAGGATCAAAGTTAGTTTTACATTTTAAAAAAGCACACATAATTCACAAAAAAATTAAAGAAATTTTCATGCTAAAAAAATCAGCAAAATAGGAATAGAGTAGAATTTCTTTACTTTGAAAAACAGTCATTATTGATAATTATGAACAGAAAGCTTCATGCTTAATTGGCAAATATTAAAAGCATTCTTTCTAGAATATGGATAAGAAAAGAAATGTTACTTCTATTTAATAATGTTTGAAGGATACTAGGCATTGAACTAAGGCAAGAAAAAGAAATTTAAAAATACATAAAGACTGGGAAATAAAAACACTGAGTATTTTTAAAGAATCAAAGAGCAGGGCATAGCAGAACACACCTATAATCCCAGAGATTCTAAAGCCTGAGGCAGAGGAGGATCACAAGTTGAAAGCCAACCTGGGCAACTTAGTGAGACCTTGTCTCAAAATAAAATAAAAAGGGCTGGGGATGTAGCTCAATGGTAGTGTGCTTGCCTTGTATGGCAAGGCCATGGGATTAATCCCCAGAATTGCAAAAATAAACAAAAAAATAAATAAATAAATAAAAACCCCACTAAATAAACTATGAGAGATTAATGAACTTGACAAGGTTGATGCATGTATTGCTAATATTAAAGAACTAAATCATATTTCTATATTGCAATAAAGAATGAAAATTTTAAAAATGTATTAAAAAATGTCAATTAACTCAACCTAAGTCTAACAAAGATATGTAAGACTTTTATTCAGGACATTGTAAAATCTTATTGAAAGCATTCTTTAAAATCTTAATGAACCATACTACATTCACAGACTGAAAGTCTAGATAAAAGATGTAAATCTGTATAAACTACAGATTTCATTCAATCTATATAAAAATCCCCCAAAGAAATTTTGATCAGTTTATTTTAAATTTTAAATGGAAATGCAAGAAAAGCCAAGAAATACTTGAAAAAGGGCCCTCGTGGAGTTGAAAGATCTTAATTAATTGGCACTACATAAGGATCAACAAATAGACTCCAAAACCAGACTACCTATATTTGATAAAGACAGTATTACAGTTTAGTAAGGAAAGAACAGTCTTTTGAGGAGGTGCCCAAACAACTGCATGTACACAGACTTGCAGGGGTGGGGGAAAAAAAACAACTTTCATCCCTTTACTCATAGGACACACAAAGTCAACATTATCTGGATTGCAGATAAATGTGATGGGAAAATAGTAAAATTATAGAAAATCTATAGGAGAATATCTTACAAACTTTGTTTAGAAAAAAATATATTTTAAACAGTACATTAAAATACATATTTTCTTCACTTCAGGTAAAATATTTCATTTTATGTGACAGCTGAGCAGAAGGCACTTGATAGATAACTTCTGGACTTTGGCATCAAGGAGCTTATAATCTAGCAGATATAGCATGACTGAATTAAATACATTGGACAGATCAGTATGAAAATAGAGAAGGGAGAAGCAGTACTTCTCTGAAGAAAGTTAGAAGCCTTCTTACTGAGTATGTAGGATGTTCTCAGCATTATTAATCATAACATCCCCAAACTGTAAAAGTAGCAGAAAGCATATATAAATTACAAAATATTCACAAAATAGAATATGGGTCAGCAAACAATACTCTGCAAGCCAAATATGAACTGTAGTATAGCCTAGGATCTAAGAATGGTTTCTATGTTTTTAAAGGACAGTCAAAGCCAGGCACAGTGTCTCATACCTGTAATCCCAGTGACTAAGAAGGCTGAGGCAGAGGATTGCAAGTTTGAGGCCAGCCTCAGCAATTTAAATGAGGGTCTTGGCAACTTAGTGAAACCCTGTCTCAAAATTAAAAATAAGGGTTGGGAATGTAGCTCAGTGGTTAAGCACTCCTGGGTTAACTCCAAAAGTACCAGGAGAAAATTGAAAAAAAAAAAAGGGTAGCAGGAAAGTCAAAAAAAGAAAAGAAATGCAAAAGAGAGACAATATTTGACCCAAGCCTAAAATATTTACCATCGGATCTACAGAAAAATCTGCTAACTCTAAAATGGAATATTTCATAGTAGTGATTATTAACTATGGAAATAAGCAACATTATGAATGTATTTCATTAGCATAATATTGAGCAAAAGAAAATATTTCTATTATATGAAGCTTTAAAAAATACAGCACAAAGTAAATTAGTACAGTCATTAAAGAAAGCAGTATGGAGGCTTCACAAAAAACAGAACTATCACATTCTCCAATAATTCCATTTCTGGGTATATATCCAAAGGAAATGTAATAAGTACATTGAAGAGACATCTGCATTCCATGTTCTTTGTAGGACTGTTTGCAATAGCTATTTTATAATTTATATAAGCTTTCTGCTACTTTTACAGTTTGGGGCTGTTATGATTAATGCTGCTGTGAACATCCTACTATGCCTCCTGGTGCAGATGTACACAAGTTTCTTTGGGTATCTAGGAGTGGAACTGTGAACGATAATATGCTTGTTTAATATTAGTAGACAAACTGTTTTTAATGTTATTGAACCAATGTGAATTCCCAAGTGTCCACCTTAAACTAAAATATAAATATTAAAAAAAAGAGATCTCACATGGTGACTATAATTAAGAGAAATGTATTTTAGTTTCAAAAATCCTTAAGAGAGCAGTTTTGAAGTATTCTCACCACAAAAATATTAAGTATATGATCCTAATGTATGTATTAATTATCTCATTTAGCCATTCCATAATGGATTTTTATTTCCAAAGATCATGTTGTATAAAAATAAACATATACAATTTTTGTCATTTAAAATAAATAAATATTCTAGGCATAGTGAAGCATGACTGCAACCCTACCAACTCAGGAGGCTGAAGCAAGAAGATTCCAAGTTTGAGGCTAAATCTCAGCAACTTCATGGGACCCTGTCTCAAAATAAAATTTAAAAAAACTGGGAATATAGCTCAGTGGTAGGATACTTGCTTAGCATGTGCAGAGGCCTGGATTCAATCCCTAATTCAACAAAATAAAATAGATTTAAAGTTTAAAATAAAAGAATATATAAAGGATGCACAAAATTCAACATAAAAAAATAGAGTCATTGCCTAATCAAAAAATGGGCAAATGATCTGAATAGATACCTCTGAACAGAAGATATACAAATGGCCAACAAAAATATATGAAAAAAATCCTCAATATCTTTGACCATCAAGGAAATGAAAATCAAAACTACAATGAGATTTCATCTCACTATAGTTAACAATGACTATTATAATTTTTAAAAAAACAAAACAAACAAAAAACAAATAAGAACTGGCAAGGATATGCAGAAAAGGAACTCTTAGTGGAAACACTGTGGAAAAAAATATGGAGGTTTCTCAAAAAAATTAAACAAAACTACTTTATGATCCATGTAAATCACTCTTTGGTATTTTTCTTAGGAAATGAAGTCAGTATACAAAAGAGATACCTGCACACCCATGTTTATTGTGGCATAATTCACAATAGCCAAAATTTGGAATCAGCCTAGATACCATCTACTGATGATAAAGAAGATATGGTACATATACACAAGTCATAAAGAATGAAATTCTGTCATTTTTCGAGAAAACAGATGGAGTTGGAGATCCACATTTTAAGTTAAATGAGTCAGACACAGAAAGACAAGAATCACATGTTTCCTCCCAATTGTGAAAACTAAGAAAATAAAAGATGACCTTAAGGTTGAAGACAGACCATGAAGGAATGGAAAGGGTGCCAAGGGTGGAAGGGTGAGGTAGAAGAATAGAAGAAGGGTAGATGTACGTGATTAATGTCTGATAGATGCATGTATGAAAATATCACAGAGAATCCCATCAATTTGTATAATTAGTATGTGTTTATAATTATAAGAAGAAAGTTCACAAAAATAAAAATAAACTTATATGGGGAAAAAAAAAAAGCCCAAAATGAGACTACAGTGGTTAGATACATGGCTAATACTTTTATGTTTATCCAAATAAGTATTCTGGATATGATAAGATTGTTAACTATCATCCTTAGTTTTTTTTAATGGCTTTTTTTTTTTTTTTTTTTTTTTTTAACAAAGGATGATAGTTATTTCAAGAAGATAGGAATGAGTTGCAATAGGGAAGGGAAGGATAGACAGCGATCAAAATTGGTCCAGCTTCAATTGCTCTACCTGGTGGTAACATATGAATATTTGCTTTATAATATAATGAGCTCTACATTAACATTTCATTCACTTTTTTCTTCATGTAATAGTTCATAATAGAAGAGTTTGCTAAGACCCACCTTTTCATAATCTTCAGCAGTAAAATCTCTGTCTTTCTGAAGTATTTCATGAAGTCTTGCTTTCACACGTTGTTGACAACTGCTTAAAGAGTCACTATCACTATCCAAAAGACCATTCATATTTGCACTTTTCACCATCTGAACAAGAATGGGTGTAAGCTCCCCTTCTAAAGCCAACAGACCCTAAACATATTAAATGAAGTAAAAAATTTAAAAAATTAATATGCAAAATAGAAAGTATCATAATAATTGTTACATTCTGAATTTCATAATGTATAAGCTAAATATTTTTAAAAAATAAATATTATTAGTAATATAGTTCACATTGTCAGTTGATAGCTTTAGTTGGAAGTTCGAAATTTGGAATTTTTAAATACTGTCTTAGTGAAAATCTTAAAACAATGAAATTGTAGATGACAATTCCAATAATTAAAAACAAAACAAAACATCTATTTTTACCTTTGCAAAAGCTGCTGCAGTCATCTGAACTCGTCCTTCATCAGAGGCATATATTTTGAGGTCATGTCGGTAGGTACTATGTAATCGAAGCAAACCACAACCAGGAAATCCTGCATAATCTCCTGAAAATAAATCCTCAAATCACTTAAGCTATATTTTTATCTCACTGTATTTCCAGAAATATTTACAAGTATTACAAAATAAGAGAATATGAAAAAAAATTGCATGAATTTAATCAAATTCAAAAAATTCCAACATTTGGGCTAGGGTTGTAGCTCAGTGGTAGAGCACTTGTCTAGCACGTGAGAGGCACTGGGTTCAATACTCCGCACCACATAAAAATAAATAAATAAAAGAAAGGTCCATTGACAACTAAAAATATATTAAAAAAATAATTTCAACATTTACCTTGACCTCCAGGATACATACACCTGAAAGCTCTTCCAAGTTCTTCAGCCTGGACTCTGCCTGCAGGTGTTAATTCTCCTCCCCATTTCAAAACCAAAAGTAAGGATGGCTCTTCCCTTCGGCTATCTAAGATGCATGTGAACAAATAAAACAAATGTTAGGTTTGAACAGAAATGGGCCAATGTTAATTTAGTTGACTTAGTCCATATGTAATTATTTTATTCTCTAAATGGGCCTATCTTTGTAGGTTGTTGCTTCCATCAGGAATTCCATTACTCTTCCTATTAAAATTTTACTGAAATATTAAAATCTCTTTCATACTCAGTAAGGCGGCTTCTAACTTTCTTCAGAGAAGTACTGCTTCTCCCTTCTCTATTTTCATACTGATCTGTCCAATGTATTTAATTCAGTCATGCTATATCTGCTAGATTATAAGCTCCTTGATGCCAAAGTCCAGAAGTTATCTATCAAGTGCCTTCTGCTCAGCTGTCACATAAAATGAAATATTTTACCTGAAGTGAAGAAAATATGTATGTTTTTATGATGAGGAATCAGTGATTTCCATAATTTTTAGGAAGATGTGAGATGACATCCTAACACTTATTCTAGTTAAAATTTCATGCAATCTAATTTTATACAAACACTGAAAATGTAGCCAATTTAAAAAAAAATTTAGAATTGTGGAATTTCTTTAAGTTCGCAGTAGAAGTTTTGTTCTCAGACATAGGTCAATGATTTAATTTTGACCTGTTCTTTATTATGGCCTTAAGATTTGTTTGTATTGAATTTTAGAAACAAAAGGATTCAAAAATAAATATTATAAACGTTAAAGAATGAATAATAATTCATTGAAAGTAACAGAAAATCATCCTTTCCCCTGCTGCTTGTTAGCAATTATATGTGCTTTACCATGCAAGTGGACAATTTACGGAAGAACAGTGAACTAAAGTTTTTATTATATTTGTTATAGAAAGCTTCCAATCATAAACATTGGGAATTAATCTGTATTGCTTTTAATTACAAAGTATGACATAAGGGTAAAATGTCAAATGTTAAAATAAACACATAAAGTTTAATGTATTCAAACTTGTTTTTGCATTTAATATAATCATGACTTCAATTTTGCTACTATAAATAATGCCAATGTGAATATCCCTACAGATCAATCTTTCTCTGAATATCCAATTACTTTCTTGGGATAGATTTTTTTTTTTTTTTTTTTGGTACAGAGGAACTCAGAGGCATTCGACCACTGAGGCACATCTCCAACCCTGTTTCTTATTTTATTTAGAGACAGGGTCTCACTGAGTTGCTTAGCAAGCGAACACTTCACTTTTCCTGAGGCTGGCTTTGAACTCTAGATCCTCTTGCCTCAACCTCCCAAGCCACTGGGATTACAGGAGTGTAGCACCATGCCTGGCCTTGGGATAGACTCTTACAAGCAGAATTAAAGTCAAAGCAAAGGAACTTTATGCTGTACTATATACAATATATGTATATTTCAATAAAGTGGAAAAAATAAACTTAAAATATTATTAAATTTATTATTAACAGAAAAGTATAGAAATATTTTTTGAATATTTGATTGGCAAATCACTTTTCAAGAAGTTGTATCAATTTATAATTCTACCACCACACTAAAATCCTGTCACAATTTATTCATCAGCACTTTATTACCAGTTTAAAAAAGGAGAGAAAACACTTTGCTACTATGATAGGCAAGATTGATTATTACAAGGTTAAGCAGGTTGATTTTCATTAATCTGAAAATCTGAAATCCAAAATTGGCACTTTTTGATTTCCCACATGATGCTACAAGTGGAAAATTCCACACCATGAAACTCTCAGATATAAAATTATTAAAAATATTGTATAAAAGTACCTTCTAGCTACACATAAGGGGTGTGTATGTGTGACGTATATATGAAACATAAATAAATTTCATGTTTAAAGTTGAGTTCCATTCCTAAGATATCTCACCATGTACATACAAATATTATAAATTGGAAAAAATTCAAAATTTGAAATACTTCTATCTCAAGATTTTCATATAAGGAATACTTAACCTGTATAATTAATTTAGTGGTTGAGATTATAGGCATGTACCACCACACTCAGATTTTGAAAGGTAAATGAATTTTTGGACCTTTGTGCTCAGTGTTTCTAGGATACCAACCTTATTTAAATGCTTACTGACGTTTATTGGATGGAGAAAAATATCAATTTACTGTAGAAATACATTGTGTATATTTTCAAATATTCATTTCATACTTTGGGGGCAGGTTACAGGGATTAAACTCAGGGACACTTGATCACTGAGCATGTCACATCCCTAGCCTTATTTTGTATTATTTTTTTTTCAAATATTTTTTAGTTATCAATGGACCTTTATTTTATCTGTATGTGGTGCTGAGAATAGAACCCAGTGCCTCACACATGCTAGGAAAGCACTCTACCACTGAGTCACAACCCTAGCCCTATTTTGTATTATTGTATTTAGAGACAGTGTCTCATTGAGTTGCTTAGCTTCTCACTTTTGCTGAGGCTGGCTTTGAACTCACAATTCTATTGCCTCAATTTCCAGAGCTGCTGGCATTACAGGTGTGTACCACTGCACCCAGTTCGTTTCATACTTTTTTAGCTTTGTTTTAAATACTCTACTCATTTCTATCAAAAAAAAAAGTAAGAATGGGGCCGATTAAATATCACTTAGTTATAAAGAAATAACTTTCTGAAACAATCTCAGAAAAAAGAAAAGTCATAAGCAGTTTCAAAATAATAAAATATATCCATACAATAAATGGTTAAACAATAAAAAGTATCCTTTACCTAAAGAATAGAATCACTATTAACAAAACACCATTTTATTTTTCTTTTAGTTAACCTGCCAATCTCTAAACTATTAAGCAAAAAATGGTCTAAATGTAATGAATGAATTAAGTGACTACAAATATTTATAACATAATAGGCATTAAAAATGCATACCTTCCTCTTCGCTAGATGTTTTAGGACAACCATGAGGGAGATAGGTTAATTGGACCTTACGGTTTATTCCAGAAAAATGACCATACCTGAAAAATAAAATGGTAAGCAGGATGGACAATATTCATGAATTGTTAATGTGATTCCTAAAGAAAAATTAATTCTCAGATAGGAATACTCCCTTCTATTTGTAATTGCTTTGTTGAATTCTTTAACATATCCAGCAGAAAATTTGTACCATAGTCATTCAATTCCATTGAAAACAAAAAAATATAAGTTTTTACAAAGTTAAGACAATTTGAAAGAGATGATAAAGTATAGAAATATGTACAAATATAAATGTATGTATTTTTAAATAACAATGGATATAAGATTATAAGTGGTGAAATTTATAAAGCCTCTATTAGGAATATTAGTGGGCCTCATTTTTAGTTGATAAAAACATAGCTTAAAACTTTTTTATTTAAACAGCCCTGAATCTGGGGTCAAGTTAGTAATATGCCTTCATTCTAAAGAGTACTTCACAGAAGACACAAATTTGATGTCCTCTTTGAATCATATTAAAGTTAAAAATAAAGCTAAAATAATAATTTTCAATAATACAACAATCAATTTGTATTATATTAAATTTTTACTTATGCTTGGCTGGCATGTGTCTGAGTCCATGGGTTCAAACCCTATAACTACACACAACACAAAAAAGACAGAGAACTAAAGTAAGTATACAACTAGGAGTTACAAAAAGATACTCACATCTCCAATACAGTCTTAAGTTGTTCAAGCTTTGATTTGTTTTCCTCAATTTCAGAATCATTATTTTGCCCTAGCTCCATAAGAAGTTGTCGTGCAATATCCAGCACTTCCTATAAAATAAGTTAATAAGGAACTGAATTTTTATGTAATTTCACCATTAAAAAAAAAACTTAACCACTAAAAATTAAAAACTCGGGGCTGGGGTTGTGGCTCAGTGGTAGAGCGCTCCCCTAGCACATGCGAGGTGCTGGGTTCTATCCTCAGCACCACATAAAAATAAATAAACAAAATAAAGGTATTGTGTCCAACTACAACTAAAAAAAAAATATTAAAGAAAAAAAATTTAAAACTCAACAAGAAAGCAAAAACACTTGCCTGTAATTGTTTTGGCTTTTTGAGTTTTAACTTCCCCGATTTATATCCATCACACTTTTCAAAAAGATCAAAAAATCTTATAAAAAAGAGAGCACTGTTAGTCACTTGCAATAATTGATATTACCACAGTATATTTAATCTAACAAAGCAATAGATATGGGGCTAGAACTCAAAAACCTATGGATTTTCAGTACTATTTGTCCTATTTCCGATGTTGCTCCTCTACTATTTTTTTTTTTTTTTTCCTCCCAAAGACAGGCCTCACTATGCTTCTCAAGCAGGTCTCAAGTGGTCATCTTGTCTCAGCCTCCTGAGTATCTGGGACTATAGTAGTGTTCTAGTACACTTAGCTTTTTTTGCTGTACCTGTATTTATAAATTTAATACTTTCCTAAACTATACTAAACTAATGGTCATGATATTACTTTTAAAAGTTTTCTCATGATCAAAACTGAATACACAATTATAATGCAAAATATTATTGTATTCTCTAAGGTCAGTATGTAAATACATATTTGATAGTTAAGGATTTCAGGTTTTGGTTTTGCAGTCTCCAAATCAAACACTGAACAGAATAGAAGCTTTCCACTAATTTTCTTCTAAAAAACTGAAAGGTTAATAATTCTCAAAATGCAGTGCAACAGAATGATAAACCAAAATTAAATAGAACCCATTTATGTCAATAAATAAAAGCCAGGTCAGACTGATATTTATGTGCATTACCATAATAATGTTTAGGTGCTGGCATTTACATTACTTTAAATGAACTTACATGCATTCAGTGGTTTAAATATTTATGAACAAGAAATAGTAGTCAAACATTTTCCTATATGATGTATTAATTAAAAGAGCTTAACATTCATCAGAAATCTTAAAATTATATCATGAGTACTAAATATTCTTCTTGAAACATACTTTTGATGCCTCACTTCCATTTTCATTTTTTGTTTTGGGGTTCGATCCCCATGACGTATGACAGCTATGACACATCTAAGTTCCATCCTAAAGGAAAAAAAAAAGTTCTTAATACTCTAACAAAGATTTGTGTACCATAACTCAGATTAATAAAACATCCAATCATTTATTAAAGGCCATCTTTCACCATTTTAAGATCTTTCCCATGAAGAGTAGTACTTGTAACAATTTTATGTCTTTAACAATTTAGTCTTAATTTTATGAAGTTAAATCCTAAAAGGAATTTAAAAAGTTGGAGGAGGGAGTGATATTATGATATATAATATAATACTTCCTCTTCTCAAAAGAGAACCATGTTAACTCTGGACACAAGTAAATGTACTCTGATTCCTGAACTTTATAAAATATCTGCCTGGTAGTATTAGACTGAGTTCATCAAATAAAAATAAAGTTTTATCTAATAGTAAAGGAAACAGTCACTACATTTATAAATTTGCTATCTTTTGCTCAGGTAATAGGAATAGTATTTAAAACTCAAATTCATGGAAGATAAAAGTAGTAAAGAAGCATTTTAGAGTTAAGAGGTATAATTTAGTATTAGCCAAAGTATGAGGTCTTGAACATAACTTGCAGGATATTAATACAATTATCTGAGAAAATTTTGTGTTAAATAAGTTTAGAAAATACTGGTTTAAAAACAAAAGTAAATACAGTTTCTACAAATCAGAATGTCCAAAACTATTTAACATACTAATATAAATCTTTCTAAGCTGTGAATGTGAAGCATTCAGTCAACTCACCTGACTTTTCAATGAGTCATTTTCCTCAGTAGATGTTAATAAAACATTCTGGCAATATTGGTCTAATGAATTTATCTCAACCTGTAACTTAAGCTAGCCACATAATGATGACTGAACTTTTGAGAAATGTATCTATTTTAACCACTTCTATTATTATGACTTGATTATGTAGTTCTGTAATTATCAAAGCCTATTGCAGGATTTTATATCTAACAACAATATAAGAGAATTTATTCCTCCCATCTTCACACCAAATCTAACAAAAACATACAAAGTATCTAAAAATAATTTTTTATTATAATAGCACAGTCTAATAGAGAAAACTCAAGGAATTTCTAAATGAAAATAATTCAAACTTACATAGTTCCAGATGTAGTTGGTACAATTGGAATATCTTCAGCTTCCAATGGTATTGACCAGGGGATATGAAATTGTGGAGCAAGCTCTCTCATTACAATATTTCTTCAAATGAAAAGAAAATAATTATTATTTCATTTAAAGATAAAATTGGATACTAAATGAGAATGGTAGCGAATCACAGGAGTTAAAGTCATCTGAAAAATTTAAAATACAAATCAATATTAGATTTGAATAAATCAGTATAACTATATTATTTCTAATTATACACACTCTGAAATTCAAAACTGTCTCTTGGACTAGGTGACCACTGATCATTCCTTATGCATTTAATGAACATTTATAAACCTGTTCTAAATGCCATGCTCATTTTCCACAAATTATTATTATACTTTACTAATAGGGTTAACAATAAAGAGGTGTTTAATTTTGTTTAAATTTAATATTCATTCATGAAAAATTTAGATAACTCTTCTCAATTTCACTTTAAGCATAACTTCAACAATCTTCAAAACATACTATAAAATATGAATCCAATTATCAAACATTTTGAAGTATTAAGTTTTCTGTGGCTTTGTCAGATATGCTTCAGAATGTTAAAAAGGGGCTGCAGTTGTAGCTCAGTAGTAAGATGTTTGCCTAGCATGTGTGGGGCACGGGATTTGATTGTCAGCACACATTAAATAAATAAACAGACAAATAAATAAAATCAAGGTATTAAAAATGTCAAAAATAGTTCTTGTCTTGCTAAGTCTTCCTAATCAAGTTACAAGGAAAATGAATCAAAGAATATAAAACTGACATTTCTACCTGCAATAATTTTATATATTCACTTGATAATATTATGAGAATATCTTTAACATATACTTGCATAAAGAAATGTCACCCATAGAATCCTGAATTCCAAAAATTTCTATCTTACTTATTTCATGAATGTTAATTTTGCACTATTAAATAAGACAACAAAGTTTGTTTTTTTTTTTGAGCAAGCAAAGCAGTTTATTAAACAAAAATGCAAACAGCCAGCAAAATAATAACAATGTGCTCCTATTTTTCTCAGCAGCTCGGGAGGCTGAGACAGGAGGATTGTGAATTCAAAGCCAGAAATAGGGTTGTTTCCTCTGACTCCTGTTCTGCAGTCACCAATTTCCCTTCCTGTGGGGAACAAGTGGGCAAGGGCTTCTTCTATGGGAGTCTTCTCTCTTACAGGGATCTTTCCCCTTTTCTCCTCTCCCCTCCCCTCCCTTTCCTTTTCCTTTCTCCCCTTTTCTTTTCCACAAGAACCAGAATAATCTGCTGAAGTCTCTGACACTTGGCCTCCCTGACCTTCATGCAACCTGTCTGATTCTGTATTTCTAAACAATTTACTTTAGACAAAACTCATATTTTTCACACTTCTAAGGTCAATGTAATTTTTTAAAAAGCTTAATTTCAACTACAATTACACAGTAAAACTTGAGGAATATTTTAATCACCATGTTATAGCATTTCTAACTCTATGAAGTTAACATCTTTAGGCCTTTGTACTGATTATAAATTAATCTGTCTTTGATAATCTCACCTATAATTCAGAATCTGGTACAGTCTCTGGAGGTGCCATTTTATGAACTGATTTTTTACTCCACAATACTTAAAAAAAAAAAAAAAAACTTCATCCTTCAATGTTACCAATTATTTTGTTTCTGAATAACTAGTATGCAAAGTAAAGAGAAGAAAATAGATTATTAAATTCTTACCCAAGTATTTTTGCACAATCATCATAATACTTCATGGAATTTTTCACAAAACTGAAGCCATTGACATCACACACATAGGACTGTCCATTGGCTCGTAACAAATCAAAGCCACAAACTGTTTGCTATTTAAAATAAGTTATAAACTTTAAATTATTATGATTCAGTTTTCTAGTCTTATTAGAACATATATTTTATGTCTAAAAGTATATTATTATATATTGTTTCAATTCATGTTAAGTAAGGGAAAGAAATTACTTATTTGTAATTTGAATATTCTAAAGATATATTACATATTCCATATGATTACTTAAATTCCTTATCATAAAACAGACATAAAGTATAAAGGATTACAGTGGCCAAAACAGAACACTGCATCAAAACAATCTCCAACTAAAATTTCAATTTTCGAAAAGCAAATATTTTGAAAATTCAGATAAAATTTTACACTAGCAGAAATTTAGGTCATTTAAGTCCCAACACAATAAAGGAAAAATAGTATTAAAGACCTATCCCAGAAGAAATGTTCAATTATTCCTGTAAATCTGTTAATCTCCTCATAATCACATATTTGTGAGCACCTAAAATAAATTTGGAAGAAAATTGCTGAAAGTTATAAATTTGTTACTCTGTGAAAATTTTCTTCCACATTTTTTATGCAAATACTCATGCACTACTATAATGTAATTTGAATTCATAGCTTTTGGGATCCTTGTATAATAAGACAATTTACATAAATCTATTAAAACTTACTTACAATCTAACATTTCTTCCACAAAAGAGACATTATGGTTAACACACAAAGTATTTATTATTTAATAACCAGTAATATCTATTAGTCTTTAAGTTATGTATCCAATGTAAGATTTCAAAAAGGTAAAATTTATTATTTATTAAATGTCAGTTGTACTACTTCTATTTAAACTTTTATACAAGTTAGGTAAAAATTCTGTTAATATAGATTAAGGGAATTAATCAAATATTAGAAGTAAAATGTTTTAAGAAATTTTTTACAGTGCTTTCATGAACATATTCTATTATACAGTAGTCCAAAAGAATTGACTGCCAAGGCTACAATACTAAGGACAATTTACCAGTTCTATGAAAGTAAATAATACTTATAATTAGTTTCTTAAAAACAGATTAGACAATACCCCTAAACACTGTTTAACTGAACTAATCTCTGCAATTTTAAAGTCAGAAAAAATTCATACAGTTTCTTTTTATATAACACAGAAAGAACATATTGGTACTACAAGAATACAATATATTAGCACTATAAAAATCCGCTTGCAAAATACATGAACAGTTCTCAGCTTATTACTCTAATTATAAATCCAAATAATGTCTCTTAATCAAGAATAAGAATTAGAATTTTTTTTACAAAGGTCTACATGGCTTGTCTTAACATCTTACCTTAAAAGCAAGGCAGACTTTCCAAGCAATTAATTTCTCTCGTGCATTGAGAATAACAGGGTATCTTACTTCTTTTCCTTCACTATCTCGTTCCACCTTGCCATCAAGTGCTGGAGATTTTCGAGCTTCAGCATGAGCATAATCTGGACCAACTGTGTAAACCTTTGACGAATATTAAACACATATATACACACACACACATACACAAACACTCGTAAAACCAATAAAAAATAAATTCAAAGAAAAAAGTAACAAAAAATGGTTCAGACTCTGTATTATTATAAGACAACTTTTCTATTTTACATCTCAAATTTTCATTGGAAAAGGTTATAAATACTTATATGGCAACACTGGTAAAGCAAGAATTCATTCTGTATAGGAAACTATTAAACTGAGCATTAACTCTTCAAAATGTTTTAGTTTAACAAAAAAGAGATTAAAAAAAACTATAAAACATCATGGAAGGAAAAAAATTGCCAAAATAGAAGTTTTTAAAAGGTGGAGAATGAATCAGAACAAGAGAAGGAAAGGCATTCTAAGCAGAGGTAAATGGACACAAAGGACAGACATATGAAACAGCAGGATGCATATAAATATGGAAAAGTTATTTGATGCAGTTTATGCTTTAAGAAATAAAATTAGTATGACAGAGGACAGACTATGATATTATCTGTATCATGATCAAATTTATACTTTAAAAGGAACATTGTGGTTACAGAAAGACTAGTTGAAAGTTGACATATTAAGATCTCATTTGTTACCAGTTAAAATTTTATTTATTTATTTATTTATTTATTTATTCTATGTCACCAAGGATTGAATCCAGGGGTGTTTAACCACTGAGTTACATACCCAGCCCTTTTAAAAATATGTTATTTAGAGACAGCATCTCACTGAGTTGCTTAGTGCCTCACTAAATTGCTGAGGTTGGTTTTGAACTTGTGATCCTCCTGCCTCAGCTTCCTGAGCCACTGAGCTTATAGGTGTACATCAATGTGCCCATACGGATATTCTTAAATCACATAATAATTGTCACAGATCTCAAAATCTGGGTAAAGTGTACTGCTTAGAAATGTGGAGGCTATTAGACTCACCTAATATATTATTATTTAAAGTCCCTTTAAAGAATCACACAATTATTATATTAAAAAGTTGATTTTTAAATATTTTAGTAACTACACTTAGATAAAATGTCTTTCTTCGTAATCCTGTGTGTTTTATTTTAAGCACTTAAGTTCACTATGTTTAAAAAAAGGATTCACGGGCTTCTAACTGCCAAAGGTATTCATGGAACAAAATGGCTTGAGCATCCTTAATTAAAAAGAAAGAGATAAAGAATAGAAGTTAGATTAGTGAAGGGTGTTTCCTTCTGCGATTACTGGTAAAATCAAAATACAAAATTACATCTACATGGTCTCTTACGATTCGTACTTGTGATTTTTTAATTTGACTTAAAATGGTGTAAAAGTGATAGACATTCAGTAGAAGTCATAATTTGAATTTTGATCTTTTCCTGGGCCAGTGATGATATTCTCTTAGGATGCTAGGCAATGGCAATGAGTCACATAGCTCTTAATGAGTCACACAATTGTGTTAACAACTCACCCTATACACCATGTTGCTAATCTTTGATTTTCAGTAGATTGATTAAATGCATTTTCAATGTAGATCATTTTCAATTTCTGAAGGGTTTATTGGGATGTGACCTCATTCTTAAATGGAGGAGCATCTGTACTTTAATTTATCCTACCTTAACATCAGTATCACCTTGAATACAAAATCAAAATATAGTTCAGTCAGTCTTACCTTAACATCAGTACCATCTGTGGGCATAAACTCTTCATATATATATGAACCTGTTTTTCGTACATTGCTTTCAGGGGAGTATACACTACTTCTACTGCCAATCTGAAAGTAAAAATTGTCCATCAATATAAAAACCACATTATTTTACAACTATAATGCACCAATAAAAAAACGTGGAAAATCACATTATTTCCCTCATTTTATAATATAACCTTTGTTTCACCTTAGAAATTGTTCCATCTTAGAAATTTTCAAATAATTATTTAATCCATGAATATTTAACAAGGTTTATTATGTATTTGGCACTATATTATACTGTCTCTAACTTATGTGTAAGTTGAAGAGCATAAAAATAAAATGATCGGTTGTATTTCTTCTTCTGTAAAGTATCTATTCAGTTCAAAATTTAAAAACATAAAATAAAATGAACATTAAGAATTAAATCTTTTTTAAAAAACATTTTTTTAGTTGTAGATGAACACATATCTTTGTTTATTTATTTTTATGTGGTGTTGAGGATCAAACCAAGTGCCCAAGAATTATATTTCTAAGGTTCATTCATGTTGCTACATGTTAGTCAAGTTTGTTCATGTATACTACTATAAATTTTCTACTGTGTAAATAAACCAGAATTCATCCATTCTCCTACCAGTGTATATTTAGGATATTTTCCAAGCTTTGGTTACTACAACAATTTTGCTTTGAACATTCTTGTGTCACCATGATATATGTTCATTTGTGTTTCTAAGGATTGCTAGATGGCACATATTCAACTTACAAATATATTGCCAAAACCTTTTAGAAACTATTTTAAGAATTTAGTCTCACCAGCAAATGTACAAGAGTTCCAGCTGTTCTTAGTATTATCAGATTCTTTAACACTTGCCACTCTAATGGCTATTTATTAAAATGGCATCTCATTGTATTTTTATTTGCATTTCTATGATTGTTTGTAAGTGTATTTCTAATTCTGATGTGCTGCTAAATTACACTGCTAAGAGGCAGCATTCCTGCTTATGATGTATAGGCTTGTGCTTGTTTTCCACATACATAAGTGTTTAATCTTTGACAAACCAAAAAAGTTAATATGATATAATTATATTTCAGACTTGTTTTGCATTCTTTTATTATGGGTATGATTAAGCATATCTTCATGTATATAAAAAGTTATTAATATAACTTTTTCTATATACTGTTTACTTTTCTGGGTCAGTTTTCTAAAAGACTGGTTTAACTGAATTTTAGTCTGACAGAAACATGAATAAGAGGTTGAAGACAAATTAAGTACTTTTTCAGTATTCTGTAGGTAGGCATTTTGCCAAACAGCATTAAATATTGACAATGACACCATGTTTTTCTAACAGTATGATATCAGTTTTATGAATTTACTTCTAAATAATACATTTTCAAGAATTCAAGATAAAATTATAGTTTTATTAAATGCTTGATTACTTTTTTAAAAGGTATATTACTATTAATAAAATTTATTCAAAAAATGAAGAACATTACTCATATAAAGGTTACAAAAGTTTACCTTTCTAAAGAGTCTTTGACTTCCACCTCCAGCAGATGTTGGATAATAAATGTAAACATTGTGATCTTCTGCACTGACTGGTTTTTCTACAAATGGCTTTTGGAAAACTTCTCCATTTACTTCTACATGGTCTTCCCCTTCAATCAGATTGCATTCTATAAATCAAACATAATTAGAAAAAAAAATTACTTTTTTCATTATAATAGAAGGCTTAAAAAAAACAAACAACAGAATGCATTGTTCTAATCTGCAGCAAAACTGTATAAGCCTTATCAGCAAACTTGAATTTATCTTGCTTTAATGACATTCAGAAGAAAACAAAAAATTTGCACCAAGAATGCTCAATCCTAACAGCATGTTTAAATCACCCGCTCTTAAAAAAAAAAAACCACTCATGTAGAATCTCATACAGATATGTGGGGTCTAGTACAGATATATTTTTAAAAACCTCTTCTTATGATTCTGATTCCCAGCTAAGGGTAAAATCTGTTCTTTTCAAAATTCTCCAAACTAATGCCACAGCACATCAATCTTCACCTTTAGGACATTTCTCCTTGCACAGGTACTGTAGAAAGTAGGGCCTCTGAATTTTAAGATGGTGCATTTCAATGTGGTAATTTCCTTCTTCATATATATCTTCTATACCCTGTCTCACTGTCTATCCATGCTTATCCTAAGAAAATTTAAAAATCAATGCTCTACCATTGACAATTAATTTGGTAATTATAAAAATTATGTCACTTTGTCATTTTCTTTTGTAATAATGGTTTTTCTATGAAAGAAAACCTGTTCTAGTATACTGGGAACAGATTCTACAAAGGTCTGGAAACAATACTGTATAAAAATCTTGATCACATTGGATGATTTCATAAAAACAGAAGAAGTATAGAAGCAAATGCCTGGAACAGAACCAGTAGGGAAGTAGGTTAGCATTATAAATTGGAGCATTCCATCAACATTTACTTAACATATGATCATTAACTATGAACATTAATGTGATTTAAGTGTTTATTCGAGAGTACAAATTTTTAAACTCCTAAAGAGGTAGCTTTTAACTTGATAGACAAATTCTAATTCTCAAGGATGAATATTTGGGATTTTTTGTTTTGTTCTTATAGTGTACTGAGGATTGAACTTGGGGTGCTTAAGCAGTAAGCTATCTCCCTAATCCCTTTCATAATTTTTATTTTGAGACAGCGTCTCAATAAGTTGTTGAAGCTGGCCCCAACCTGTGATCTTCCTGACTCAAAATCTAGAACTATAGATATTACAGACAATGCACCCAGCTTATGAATAGTTAGTTCTTTTCTTTATTTTTTAACTTAGATATCATGCTATGATTGAGGACTTCTTTTTTCTAAACTAGAAATCATAAAGAAAACAAAACTTGGATAATGTATTTACTTGATTTTAATTAGATATATTTATGTAAACAACATATATCAACATTTATGATACATATGAAACTAAGAACTATACTTGTTCCTCAGATTCTATGGACTTGCCATTTTATATTACCATGTCAGAGACTTCAAAGTTAGGTATGAAATGATGCCATAAAGAGAGATTGAGGACTAATTCCAGAACAGCACTACCATTCTCTGGAAAATGTATAGGATCATTCATATCATAAATAATATAAAACATGACATTATTTAACTTAGGAAAGTAATTTTTCTGAAAGTTTCTTTCAGATACAATAATTAATCAAAATTTCCCCAAACAATGTTACCATATTAACTTTCAAGACAAACATTTATCTTGCCCTTTATTTTTTATTTTATCAAATCCAAAGCCTCTTTATTAACAGTAAGATCCGGGGTTGGTTTTTGTAGCCACATCTGGCCCTCCGGCCTCTGGCGCGCTCGAATATCCTGCCCTTGGAGCGGACGTAGGGTTTGGTGTGGTTGTGTGGGGTCCCAGGAGCCTTGCCAAAATGCTGGTACACTTCTTGGACCTTGCCAGGGCCAGAGAGCAGGACTGTGCCACGGCCCTTAGGGGAGCCCAGGACCAGTTGGTCAAAAGTGAGGATCTTGCCCCCAGCCTTGAGGATGCGGCTGTGGGCTCGGCTGCTGAAGCGCAGTACGCACACCTTTAGTTTGGGCACCTCCTGAGCACGTCATGTGTTATGGTCCCCACGACCACAGCTGTTTTGTTTTCTCCGCTCAGAAGCTTTATCTTCTGGATCATCCAGGAAAGGGAGAGAGGTACCCTATTGGTACGACTCATGAACAACATCTTCAGTACAACTTGGTTGAAGGTACAACTGGTTCGTCTAGCTAGAAAGCTGTACAACTTGACCAACAGCCTTAGGTAGATGTCCTGCCTCTTGGGCTCCTTGTGCTAAACCTTTCGTTCCTTATTGTGGCGTATGTCGACTTCCATGATGGCGCTTACAGCTCAGCCTAGTCCGGAAGGCTATCTTGCCCTTTAGATTGAGTTACATAAAACTTACATGTCATATAGTAGATAACTAGAAAAAAAAGGAGTCAAGGCTACTTTAAAATATTAATAGTATTATTTCAAAATATGTAGCATCAGGTATTTAATTATGACACTATAGCATGAAGTTTCTAAGTCAGAAATGAGTCACCTGCTTTTCCATAATCAATACAAATTCAATAACCAGGTAATTTCAAAACTTACTTTATGATTCTGAAAGATATGTCAAATGCATACCAAAGAAAAGTAGAAGAGATAACTTCTAAATTATCAGTTAACCTTTTAGCACAATATCACATTTTAACTGAATATAATAAATGATTATTTATTTAAATCATTAAGGAAAACTGTTAAACAGAATACTAAGAATTGTTTAAATTCCTTTTAGTTAAGTAGAGTGGCCTAAGTATTTCAAGTGACAGAAGGTAACATACTTAAAATCTTTTATTCTTACCTTTGGGATTATTTGGATCACGGTTCAAAATTGCATAACGAGGAAGTAAAATACCTTCTGCTTGAAGAATACTATATACTTCTCTCCTAAAGAAAAAGAAAAACATCCTTATTCTCTTGCTGCTGTATTTTGCAATGAATATAACACTGTACTTATTGTTATATGTTATTGTGTTGTACTACTAAAAAGGGTATGTATATCAAGTTTTAAAACTTTTTAAAAATATAGATTTAAAAATAAATCTATATCATTTCAAGTATTTAAAAATACTTGAAATATTCAGCAAGGAATATTCAGCAATGAGAACAAAAGTTTATGCATACTACTTCTTCTAGCATATTATTATTAAATAAAGAGAGTAAATGAATGAATGTTTGTTAAAGTTGATAACATCACAATGAAATAATCTGGCCATTAAAAACATGTTTAAATAACATTTAATGACATGGGAAAATGTTCACTGTATTCTCAGAGAAATGTAATTCTCGTTTTCTAAAATGCAAGCATGTATGTGTATATATATTGCTCTCTATATGAAAAATATAGTAAATATAGTGACAGAACTAAATGGTTATTTTATGCTTTTATTTCTCAAACTTGTTAAAATATATATGCATTTTTATATATGTATATAACTTATATATGAACATATACTATAATATAGGCCCTAGAAAATGTTTTAAATGTTTAGATAATAACAACTCTACATTCTGGGAGAACAGGAAAAAAAAGAACCCAAACCAAAAATCATAAAAGTATTTCCACATATATGATATTACAATAGTAACAAAAAACAGAACAGAGATATTAAAAGAGTATTTACTAGAGTAAGAAACACATAGATAGAGCTGGGATTGTGGCCCAGTGGCAGAGTGCTTGCCTACCACGTGCAAGGCACTAGGTTCGATCCTTAGCACTACATAAAAATAAATAAATAAAATAAAATACATAAGTACACTCATATTTTATAATTTCATTTATAAATCCATACTTTTGGCCTTTAATAAATGCTAACATACATAGAGAAATATTTTTAAATATATATATTGTATCATTAAAAAACATCTAGTTATGAGTTATTTCCTAATTTAACTATCAGTCAAATGAAAGAAAAATTACTTGTAATTATTCATGGTTTTAGTAGGCTTTGGAAATTAAACAAATGTGGTTTAACTTCTTGTCCTACTACTGGGTACTACTTATGACTCTGGGCAAATTAATTGATCTGATTCTCATGTTTCCTCTCTGTAAAATTCGTTAATAAACACCTATTTATGAATAATACTTTTTAAGGATGCTATGAAATAAGTATGTAAAACACTTTATGCTATGTCAGTATATAGTAGGTACTAAATAAATGTTAATTTTTCCTTCCCTTAATTTAGCCAACTTCACCACTCACCTATCTTGTATGAGATACTGCATATTCAAGTCATTGATTACAAATGGATTCCTGAGTTTTGCATAGGCAACTGCTTTGTCCAGTGGAAATCCTAAGAACACATATCATTAACATACTCTAAACAATTTCAAGATAAGTTGACATCTATAACTTTATCAACTTGAATTGATGCTCCCATAAAATAATGACTCATTATGTTCATAACTGACTTCTATAAAAGGTATAATATATAAAGAAATTTTAGTTAAGCTTTTACTATTAAATCTCATTTTTTTCCTAGTTAATGCTATCAATAAGGCATACTACATCAGTGGCTATAAAAACAAATTAAAGCAGAGACATGTTAGTCAGTGCCTGACTATATACAAAGTCATCCAACAGAAAGTAAAATTACTTCACATACAAAAAGATTTCTATATATAAATAAGTGAACCATGACTACCTTATAATTTTTAAGAATATACTGTGTATACAACTCTTTTCACTAAATATTTTGATGCTTATATTCTCAAATTAGCTGATAGTCAAAGAATTTACGTACCATTAAAAATAATAGCAAAAGCAAAACTAATTCACACATAACACATACACTCAAAATATAAAAGAAGAATCATGCTATTGCTAAGCTGGTGCTAAAATATAAGAAATTACTTCCCTAAAATTTCTAGACACTAGTAAAATTACTAATTTTTACAATAAAAATGAATCAAATGGCAGATATGGTAAGAAAAGTCATTAAACTATCTAAAAAAATTTAATGATTTTATTTTACTTCCTATATTGACACTAAAAGTCTCTCCAACTATAGTGGTGCACAGCTGTAGTCCCAGCACTCTGAAGGCTGTACCAAGAGTATCCCTTGAACCCAGCATATCAAGATTAATCTGGGTAGCATAATTAGACCCCATTAAAAAAAGGAAACACACACACACACACTAGACTCTAGGGGTTCAGAGCATAAACCGCTGTTCAAACCTGGCACACCTTTCACTATGTAACCTTGGGAAAATTTATTTAACATCTTTAAATATATTATTCCAGCTATAAATGAGAATTTTGTAAGTCTTACCCTAGTAGAATTTGTGAGGAATGAAATAAGAGTACATCTAAAACACTTAGCACAATACCTGGCATAGTGAGTGCTCAATAATATATGCTACCTGTTATTATTCCTTAAGTGACAGTATTTTAGTGAATATATTATCTATGGAAAAGGGTGAAAATCAGCAGTATGTACAATTTTAGGATTTAACCACTGAAGGTGAAGTGCATCCATGAAGACTCTATTTTTGCAACATTACAAAAAAAGTTAGAAAATATTAAGGCATATTGAAATTTAAAAGAACAAAACAAAACAAAAAACTACATTCAGTTAAACAAGATTTATTCCTAAATTCCCCTTAGTTTTTGAAATTTAAATGTAAAAACTCTATACCAAAAATCACTTGGCCCCAAATTATATAGCCTTCAAGTATTAGAGACTCTCAGAATTCATCACTTGCAAAAGATTTCTTAATGTCTATGATTTGAAGTGTCCTAACATAATCCAACAAATAGAAAACACCTACAGTCAGTTCTCTACTTTTACTGTCCAAGAAGAACATTTTCCTTATCAAGAGATGTTGTATGGGATATGAACTTAGATGTAACACCTAGTTTTTAGAGGTAAATAGCTTTTACAGGAAGAATCTTATGACTGTATAAGAGAACACCTTACCCTCAAGGATAAACAAATTTTAATGTTCTCTAAGATGAGTGGTCTTGGTGATTTGGTGAGCAAAGATCATGACTGTAGCTCTCTATGAAATAATCAAAATTAATTTACACAATGGGGACACAAAAAACTATGTCCCATTTTCTTCTTGTTGAACTGAGACTTTAAAACAACTCAGGACTGCGTATTTTGTCAACAGGTGATGATTAAATATCAACACATTTATAATTGAGAGCACATCTTTTAAATTATACTTCTAGTTCTTAGTTTATTTAATCTGCAGATTTTTAGGCTATGATTTTGAGATCTACACTTGGTAATAATTTTAACTAGTGGATTTTTCTATACAGTAATAATTAAGCTTAACCAATATTTCTGCTTAATTAATAAAAAGTAGTGAGATCTAAAATTTCAAATATTAGTTTCTTAAGACATAAAGTATGCATACAAACATGAGGAATGACAGATCATTTTCTATACGGCAAAAACAGCTTGCATATTCATACATCAAGAATTTATCCCATTAAATTCAAATGCAAACAAAGATATACATTCAAAGAGATGATCACAACCTCATTTTTAATAGTAAAAATTGGAAATTGTCCACATATTCAGATATTAATTAAATATTTTATGGTACATCTACATAATGATACTATGCCACAGGTTACTGAAGAATGACAGGGGAAAAATATACATTGATACAATAATGCAAAAGTTAAATATAAACTTATACCTAGGATATGACACTACATTTTTTAAAAATATAGAAAAGACTGAAAGAAATATACTAAAATGTTAATATAACATTGTTGAGAGTGGGTTGGTCTAATATTATTTTGTTTTATTCAATATTCTACAATTATTATGCATTAATTTTATAATCGGAGAAGAAAAAGGGGTGCCCCCTCTTGTTTAATACCTTTAGAATGGAAAGAAATAAGACAATCACATAAAGGCCAGTTTTCCACTGGTTCATTCAAAATAACTTCCTCTTCAAATACTACTACTGTGATATATTTAAATAAGGAGATCCGTTCCAGAATTTCCTTCATTGGTTTGGATTTGGATTTCTTTGCCATGGAACATATTCCAACCACAATCTGCCTTTCTGGTGGCTAAAAGAGAAACAAAACAAAAAATCAGGTTGACTTAATATAAACTCCAAAACATAGCTATTTAATTCTTTTCAGAAGTAAATAAGGCTTGTGATAAATATATAAAAGTGATACATTAATCAAAAAAGGCATTTTAAAAATTATATCATTATTATAACAATAAATACCTTATAAATAATTTTCTATAAAGGTCTGGAAAAAATTTTAAAGATACACATTTTTAGAACATTGATACTATTTTCAATCAAGTTTAAAACTTAAGGAAATAACTTTGCAGTGGTAGAGCACATGCCTAGCACACATAAAGTACTGGATTCAGTCCTCAGTAGCACAAAAAAATAAATAAAATAAAGGTATTGTGTCCATCTACAACTAATTAAACAAACAAGCAAACAAACTCTGCTTTAACTGCCTTTCGTATTTGTTTATCCTCTTCACAGCAGAAAAAAGGGCAAATGTGGGCCCAAACCCATCCAATTCATGTAAAAAGACCAATGGGAATGAAATAAAATATTTTTTCTTGCATGAGTAAGATATGGTTCTACCTTCAAAGCTATATAGTATTCAATTCTTTTTGTGGATTGAGCTTGAATGTTGGTCATTAATCACAACTCAAAAGAAAATTTTGGAGAGAACCACACTGCTACCAGAGATGGCAAGAACCTCTGACATTCCAATCTTCACACTCAATATTCCTCCTTAATGATGTTGCTAATATTACCAGTTTTACACCAAATTGTGGCTCAAAGGCCACTATTAGTTCTAATCTAAAAAGGCAGAATACATAAATAATAACAATAGTAACTTCATACATTCATAAAAAGTACTGGAGAGTCACCCTGGGGTCTATGCATCTCAGGGCTTAAGAGTTTCTCAACTATAAAAAGCTATGTCCAGCTTTTCATTTGATTCTACTTTCTTTTCCATGATTTGATATATTTTATAAGACATTATAATCTGTACTCAAAAAGTGGTTTAGGATATTTTCTCTTCTATGATCCAAAAAGAAAATCAGATAGTATCAGAATTAAGTTGTTCTTTTTGCCTAGAAATATACTTCCATGTTTCCTCTTCTAACCCATGAAATTTAGAGTTCAAACCAGTATTGAATTATAAAACAAAGAGATAATAAATTGTATCCTTCTCGGGATCTGCTATCTTTATTTTCTCTGATCATCCAGTTTTATGTTTCCTTATTCAATTTTTATGCTGATCAAAAGCCTTGGCATAACTCATTATAATGTTCCTAAAGTAGATTCATCAGGATAACCTAACATTTCACATTGTTTTAGTATTTTTTAAAGGTACTAGATTAGGGTTTTTTATTATAGACCTATTAATGAATCTGTTCATTGGCTAAGATGATAAGAAAACATTGACATTAAAAATGTAAACAAATAAAAACTTACAGTCTTAAGACAAAATTTTCCTATTAGGTAAGACCTTAGAAGTACAAACTAATTATAAAACAGATCGGAGTTATTTTGTGTGTTAGCTTTTCATTGCTGAAACAAAATACCTGAGAAAAACAAGTTAGAGGAGCAAATTATTTCAGCTCACAGTTTCAGAAGTTTCAGTCAGCTAGTTCCACTGCTTTGGGCCTGAGGCAAGGCAGAACATAATGGCAGAAAGGCATAGTGGAGAAAAGCTGCTCACTTCACAGCAGCTAGGAGGCAGAGAAAAAGAGAGGAAGGGGCAAGGGACAAGATACACCCTTACAGGGCACACCCCCAGTGACCAACTTCTTCCGACTAGGTCCCATTTCCACCACATACCAATAATGACAACAAATTATGAATTCCTCAATGGATTAATTCATTTATCCAATCACTTCCCTAAATTTTCACCTCTGACTATTGTTACACTTGGGACTAAGCCCTCAACATACGAATCTTTGAGGTATGTCTAGACCATAATACTGTGTTAGATTTAATGCCTAACAAAATTGAAGCTCACATTTTTGAAATCTTAAAAGGAGAATGATAGTTCCATATGAAACTATAGGTCAAAAGAACAAGCTCCATGAAAGTGTCAACTGCACATCATGAATACAAGTTCAGTTTATTTAACACCAATATTCCAAGAACTCTACTGTCCAAAGTCTAGTTATATAGAAAGTACTATTCAATACTAAAGTACTTTGAGTCTAATAGGGAATGTTGAGAGCCACAGCCGAAAGGGCCCCAGCAAACTTCCAGCTGCCAGCAAACTTTCAGCTGCCAGCTGATGATTGGCTCACAGCGGCCCCAGCAAACTTCTAGCTGCCAACTGATTGGCTCCTCTGCGGTGATGCTCATTGGGCTGTTTCCCCACCCTTTCAGACCATGGAGCTGCTTATTGGGGGACCTTTTTTTTTTGCTCCGCCCACACGACCCAGCCAATCGGCCTCAAGAGCAGGAGGAGTGGGGGGAGGTTAAGAGGCTTGTGGGAAGCCGGTGGTGGCAGTTGGGCTCTGAAGAGCTGTGTGGTGCGGTGTGTATGTTCTAAAAATAAAGTTTGTTTCTTTTGACAAGTGGCTCCTGAATTGTGCCCAGCCAGACTGCGGCATTTGGTGGCCCGTACGGGGACTAAACCCGCGACCTTGGCATTATCAGCACCACAAAAATAATATAGTAACTTGTGACACATGTAATACAAGTATTATATGTCAAGATATTAACATAGTACTAAGGAAGAAGTGATCAAATTTGTCATGTGAAAAGAGCATGGAGAATGGAGTGAAAGACACAAAAATCTGAGGAGGGTTTTGAAGAATAAATGTAACTCAAGTACTTCAAAATAAGGGCATTTTAGAGCAACAAAGAAACATATTCAGCAGCAAACACACATGATATGGCATGAAATAAATATATGGAAAAAAATTTTTGAGGGGAACTAGGGATTGAACCTAGAGGTGCTCTACCACTGAACTATATCCTCAGTTCCCCCTTTTTATGTTTTTATTTTGAGACAAGGTCTGTCTCATTTAGGGCCTCACTAAGTTGTTGAGGTTGGCCCAAAAGTTAGGATCCTCCTGCCTCAGCCTCCTGAGCCACTGGGATCACAGGAGTGCGCCATTGTACCCAGTTGGAAGTAAAATTTCGATGTTACTAAAATACAAAAGGTAGGAAGAATGGGAGATAACTACCTATAAATAGAGATGGGAGATAAAATTCCTTACATGTGAGAAGACAGGACTTGTTCTAGCAGTAGTATCCACACTGTTCAGAACTCCAGAGAAAAATAGTAAGGCTAGTTGGGGCCAAGTCAGTAGTGCTTTCTAGTCTAAGTGAACCAGAGAAGTTTTACTTTCAAACTTTACTTCTAGATAAGACTTTAGATGAAGAAAAGTTGTGAATGGCCAGAGAGAAGCTTGATAATCATTATTTTTTTCAAGGGTAGGAAATAGGGAAGATGTTCTGTACTGAGAGTTTTAAAAGAGGAACAGTCCAGTTTGCATTATAGATATGTGTAACTTCACTCAGAAATATGTTGCTATGGAAAAGGCCTTAAAGAACTATTTTTGGTTTTTTTTTTTTATCACTTTTACCAAGCATAAGACTTTTCCTTTTAAAATAAAATTATCTTTCCAATTTAACTTAGAAAACTAAGCATGTATTATAAAATGTCTGTATTTTAAATCAGCCCTTAGAATATAGCAATCCATGCACACACACACAAAAAAAATCTATGATGACTAAGGAAAACATTGGAAGAATTTAACTGTAGAAAAACGAACATAATAGATGTTCATCCAGTGTGGGTATAAACATTCTAATATGTCAGAAAGAGAATCAGACACACTTATTTGCAGTGTGTTCACACACTTATGCACATGATGCAGCCTCTCCTTTTAGCCAGTTTGTAGATTTTTGATTAGCTAATAAATAGTGATATCTTCAGTTCAACCAGCACTTCCATTTACAAACTGATAAACAAAGAATTTGGGTAAGCAGTTTTCTTCTTTAGTACCTTTAAAATTATTTCCTTCTACCTCTTAATCTTGATGTATTTGTTATGTATTTCAAATACAAGAAATAATTCTAATGCATGGCCCAGATTTCTATTTCTCTTAGCCATTTTTTTTCTGCAAAGCCCCAAGTTACATGATGTATATTACTGAAAGAAACTAAAATAAGCATCACTAAATAACTTAGAAATCTGAACCTTAACTATATTTACCATATTACTTGATTCACCATCAATTCAATAACATCCCTCACAAAATGTTACTTTTTCAGTTTAAAAAATTTCTAACAAATTTGTACATGAAAAAAATCTTAATTTAAGGTCATAGTATTCATTCACATTAACTGGGATTAGCAGAAATACCATATTGCTCTCTCACCAAAGAAAGAAACAACTTACAGAATCATCTTCCTCATCATCATCGTCATCTGCATGGTGGAAGAAATGTCGATAACTTCCAGGGTTTATTTCTGTATCTTCAGGCCCAACAAAGAATCTGGGGGCTTCACTCATTTTTACTTCATTTAATATAGATATAACAAAGTATCTATATTAAAACTTCTAAATAAATAGTATCAGAAGAAAGCATTCTCCCTATACTAGCTGACAGAGGTCTGCTGCAGTTTGTTTCTGCTTATACAATCACTTGAAAGTGCGATGACAGTTAGTTGGCAAATATTCCTTTGTTCTCAGATATCATTGCTTCATTGTGGATATCAAAGTTGTTGCTGCTGTTTAAAATACAAAGACAACAGGGCTATTGTATTCCTGAGTTGATACAGCAATCGTTTTACCTAAAATGCAATAAAAAAAATTGAGTGTACTTTAAAAACATTCCTGTCACTTAGATAATTTTAAGTGATGCTTGCATAATCAGCATCCAATAACTGGATGAATACTTTCAAAATGAAAATGTTTTCTTCCATAAGATTAATTAACAGTGTAATCTTCAGTAAAACACAGCACATCAATTTAATAAGGTGATACAAAATAATATAAAACTACACACTAAATTCTTCAAGTGCAAAAATAACAAATTAAGAGAAAATTATTTGAATTATAACAAAATTATATTAAAAGTTACATCCTTTATCACATAGTTCAGAACTATCTGAATGGAATGGAACAGATAAACCTATTTATGTAGGTTTAACAGCTACTAACAATTGAGCACTAATCTGAAGTGACATTAAGTTGATTGTAGAAGTTTAGTTTGAAAACAGGTTTTTAGGGAATATAATATTATAATACATTCTAGTCCATACATAAATCTATTAAAAAAGTGGGGGGAAACAGAGTGAAAATAAGATTTCTAACAGTAGTTCCTAAATTTGCAGAATTTAAACACTCTTTAGCAAATCTAATAATATCTATGGGTCCCCCTCACCCCAAAAATGCTCATGAACACTAAACTCTGCAAGCAATTTTATGTTCTTTAATGACAAACTCTTCCATATAATCAGGCACCCATGAAATCAGATCAGTTAAAGAACTATCATGTAATAGTGCTATGATTGAAAAGTATTCTTTACCAAAGTCATTTACATGCACTTGGACTCTGGTAATATTAAAATTAATTATCTACCAAGAGCAAATTATATATCACATCCTTCAATTGCTTACTGATATTAAAAGACCTTACTTGATAAAATAACTTTTAAAAGAGTTTAATAATATACTAGATAGAATTGCAACACACAATTCTAAAAGTCATATTCCTTTGCCCTTTCTTGTGTGCTTTTAAAGTTGATGCAGTGCTTTAAGAGGCTAACACTGAAGGTTAAAGGTAACTTCCATAAAATTTAGAGAATAGGTTGCAAAACTCCTCTTTGAATCAGTTACAGTTGGAAAAAAAAAAAAGAGGTTATATTACTGAAGGTCTAATTCCAGTTTCAGTTTAACTGGTGGCTCCTTATAACAGTTTAATCAGTCAGCATTGATTTATTTATCTTTAAATTGAACAATGTTATGAAACACAAAACAGTTTGTGACTTAAAAATTGGAAGAAATAATTTACTTTATTAAAAAATGCTTTTTTTCCTAGTTACTTGGGAGGCTGAGACAGGAAGATGGCAAGTTTGAGGCCAATTTGGACAACATAGCCACAGTTGTCTCAAAATAAAATAAGTTGGGGATGTATCTCAGTGGTAGAGCATCCCTGGAATTTACTCTCCAGTATCACCAAAAGAAAAAAAAAAAAAAAAGCTTTTTTGTTTCTATTCTTTCTTCACTGTTTAACATTAAAAAATGTTTGCTGATAAAGAAAAAATGGTTTCCAATTGCTATAACACTTGATGGCAGTAGGTAAGTTAATCTCAGCTCTGTTTTGTATCAAATGGTAAATATCCTTAGGTTTCTTCTTACTTGTTTTTTACTCTTCCTATTTAAACACAGCCCAAATATCCCAAATATTTCAGCAGCGGAAAGGGCACGATTTTGGAGTCAGATATACCTATTTCAGTCTGTCACTACATAACTACTAGAAACTTATGCTAGTTTCTCTGAGCTTTCGTTTCTTCATCTATAAAAAAGGGAGTATACTAATAGCCTATAACTCCGTAAAAGCTAAACACGGTAGTAAAAGTGCTTGACACATATCAAACACTCATTAAACCATAGTTTCTATAAGCACTTCTATAAACAAAGTTCCCAACTAATATAACATGGAAATCTAAAATAATATCACTCATTATTTGTTGAAATACATTTATTTAATCAATAAATAATATTCACATATTATAAAAGACACACTATTAGATACTGGCAATTGTACTTCTTCTACTTTAGGTATTCTAATAAACGTGATAAAACTTTTGTTTTAGAGGTTGAGATAAAAATTAAGTTTTAAAAATTATGTAGTTTTAGAGTATCATTTTGGAATATCTGAAACACATAAAACTGAATTTTTAAAATAAAAATCAGTTAATTACCCCATAACCTAGTGGCAGGACTAATAGTTGCAGTTCTTGGTTGTAGAACTGAATTGAATTTCCTACTAACTAGTCTTTTTGATATATATTTTCCCACATTTTTGTGATGCTTAATACCACTCACATATACATACGTCATATATATACACACACACACACACACACACACACACACACACATATGTATATGTGGAAAATCAACTTTTTCTTGATGGGTAGCAACTGTGTATTCCATAGATATTTTTCCAAAACAATATGAATTAATGATTGAGCTGTCCCCTTTTTTGAAGTACACTGATACATGTCTCTCATTTGATTATAAATTTAGATCTGAAATCATGTCTGATTCATTTATTTGGAGTAAGGCAATAGTTAAATCCACAAATAAATATGTTAGAAGACCTCTCTATAAGATAACAGTTAAGCATGAATTTAAATATATATGGGAAATCTGCCACAAAGAGTTAGAGCATTTTAGGTAAGAAACATAAAAAATTAAAAATTCTAAAACAGGAATAGAACATGAATACACAACAGGCAAACAAAGGAAGAATGGTTAAAAAAAGACATCAGAGAAGTAGCTAAGATGTATACAAATGACTTAAAAACAAATTTTATTGGATTACATTTAAGACAATTGGGAAGCAGAAATAAATTCAAGTTAAACAGTTTTTTGGTTGTTGTTTTTTAATGATTTTGTTTAAAAGGTAGGTAGACTGATTTGGGCTTCAGAAAAACATATGGTTAAAGAAAGTTGTTTTTTTCCCCTCTGTTACTCCATTTCAATATATGAGAGATAGTTACAAATATTATTAAAGGACTAAACAAGTTAATGGTAAGTGGACAAATTCAGGAGCCCAAATACCTGGGTTTTGATATTGAATTCAATAACTGTATGAACTTGAACAGTGTTTCAGGGACCTAATTTCCTCATCTGTAAATTATATCTATCTTGTGGCTTGTTAGAAGGATTAAATATAATACATTAAAAATGCTTGTATCCCTGAATAGGAAAAGAAGAACTCAAACTATCACTATTTGCTGATGACATGATTCTATATTTAGAAAATACAAAAAATTCCACCAGAAAACTTAATAAATTAATTCAGCAAAATACCAGGATATAAAATCAATACCCATAAATCAAATTCATTTCTATACATCAGTGATGAATCATCTGAAAGAAAATTAGGAAAACTGCCCCATTCACTATAGCCTCAAAAAAAATAATAATAATTGGGAATCAATCTAACAAAAGAGATGAAAGACCTCTAAAATGAAAACTACAGTACACTAAACAAAGAAATTGAAGAAGACCTTAGAAGATGGAAAGATCACCCATGTTTTCCAAAAGGCAGAAGTAACACTGTCAAAATGCCATACTACCAAAAGTTCTATTTTAATGCGATTGCAATTAAAATCCCAATGACAAGGCTGGGATTGTGGCTCAGTGGTAGAATGCTCGCCTAGCACATGTGAGGTACTGGGTTTGATCCTCAGCACCACACAAAAATAAATAAATTAAATAAAGGTATTGTATCCATGTATAACTAAATATATATATATATATATATATAAAATCCCAATGGCATTCCTCTTAAAAATAGAAAAAGCAGTAATGAAATTCATGGAAAAATAAGAGCCCCAGAATAGCCAAAGCAATCCTTAGCAAAAAAGAGTGAAATAGGATGCATCACAATACCAGACCTTAAACTATACTACACTATACTACAGAACTATAGTAACAAAAACAGCATGGTATTAGCACCAAAATAGACGTGTAGTCCAACAGTACAGAATAGAAGACACAGAGACAAACCCACATAAATACAGTTATCTCATATTAGACAAAGGTGCCAAAAACATACATTGGAGAAAAGAGAGCTTCTTCCACAAATGGTGCTGGGAAAACTGGAGATCCACATGCAGCAAAATGAAATTAAATCCCTATCTCTTACCATGCATAAAATTCAACTCAAAGTGGATCAAGGATCTAGGAATCAGACCAGAGACCCTGCGCCTATAATAGAAGAAAAAGCAGGCCCAAATCTTCATCATGTTGGCTTAGGACCTGACTTCTTCAACAGGACTTCTAAAGCACAAGAAATAAAATCAGGAATCAATAAATGGGATGGATTCAAATTAAAAAGCTTCTCCTCAGCAAAGGAAACAAAAAGTAACGTGAAGAGAGAGCCTACAGAATGGGAGAAAATCTTTACCACACGTGTATCAGATGAAGCACTAACCTCCAAGATTAGTGCTATATGAATTTATTATCCAATAAATAAATGGGCTAAGGAATTGAACACACACTTCACAGAAGATATAAAATCGATCAACAAATATATGAAAAATTGTACAACATCTCTAGCAATTAGAGAAATGCAAATCAAAACTACTCCAAGATTTCCTCTTACTCCAGCCAGAATGGCAATAAGTGTTGGCTAGGATGTGGGGGAAAAGTTATACATTACTGGTGGGACTGCAAATTGGTGCAATCAATCTGGAAAGCGATATGGAGATTCCTCAGAAAACCTGGTAGGGAACCACTATTTGATCTAACTATCCCACTCCTCGGTCTATACCCAAAGGATTTAAAATAAGCACACTACAGTGACACAGCCACATCAATGTTTATAGCAGCTCAACTCACAATAGCTAAACTGCAAAACCAACCTAGATGCCCTTCAGTAGATGAATGGAAAGAAATTGTGGTATATACACAATGGAATATTACTTAGCCTCGAAGAAGAATGAAATTATGGCATTTGCATGTAAATGGATGGAGTTGAAGAATATCATGCTTACTGAAGTAAGCCAATCCCCCAAAACCAAAGGCTGAATGTTCTCCCTGATAAGTGGATGCTGATCTGTAATGGGAAGGGGGCATGGGAAGAATGGAGGAACTCTGGATTGGGTAGAGGAGAGGTAGAAGGGGGGAGGGGCTATAAGGGTGCAAAGAATGGTGGAATGAGACGGTAATTATTTCCCTATGTACGTATGACTGAATGAATGGTGTGACTCTGCATTGTATACAACCAGAGAAATGAAAAGTTTTGCTCCATTTGTGTACAATCAGTAGAAATGCATTCTGTTGTCATGTATAACTAATTGGAACAAACAAAAAAAATGCTTGTATTCCAATTTCACGGTCATACTCCATACCAATTAAATCAGAATGTTCGAGAGTAGGGTTGAGATATTTTTAAGGTTCCCAGGTAATTCTAATGAACAGACAAGGTTTAGAACTCATATAGTAACCCCCACCTCCCCTCAAAAGAATAAGAGGATGGAAGAATGGAAGCATATAGTAAGCAAAATATATCCATTCAGTGTTGTTTTTTTAAAAATATTTTTTAGTTGTTGATGGACCTTTAGTTTTTATTTATTTCTACGTGGTGCTGAGAACTTCGAACCCAGTGCCTCACACATGCTAGGCAAGTGCCCTTCCACTGAGCTACAACCCCACCCCTCACTGTTGTTTTGACAGTATGCTAATAGTATAGGGAATCTGATTATATTCTATAATAGAAAGGAGATAAAAGTGATGACGCACAATCTTTGCCTCCTGGTGCTTGGTACATCTCAAGGTCTCAATAAATATTCTGCCACAAAACTTTCCTCAATAACTTTCAAAACTTCTTCTCTCCATCACTTATTGTGACCTTTGGTCACCTACATCCTTATCATTATTTAACAGTTTGGGTTATGTACCTCTCTCCAAAATAAAAACCTAAAAGGAATGAACACTTAATAAACATTGTTATCTGATAAGTAACTAGTTAATGCAGAGCTTCCTAACATGCTGCCTCACCATAAATGAGCTATATGTATGTTACGAAATTGTCTCAGCCATCAAGACAGCTATACCCCCTGGCCAGTTGCCTCCAGTAGCATTCTTTTCAGTTTCCCAAAATACAGGACATATACAATAATTTTCTATGTCTGCCTTAATGTGAAAAAAGTTGAGAAGCACTTAGTTAATACTCTGGGATAGGGATATTTTCCTCATCTTAAAAATGCTTGTACATCTATATATGTTCATTATTTCATTATAAATGAATACTTGAGGCTCAAAAGTTCAAGTACTGAGAACTTGATGAAATCATATTCAATCATCACATAGGTCAATAAGAGTGGCAAAATGCCAGATATAAGTTAAAAGTAAAAAATCAACAATCCATAGTTTTTATTACATTACTGAAATACTTAATAAATTTTTGGAAAACTAAAAATATAGAATAAACCTTTTTTTCCCCCTCTTACTCACATGGCATACATATGGTACAAAATGAAATAAAATGAGCCCTGTAGGAGATCTAGGATATTCTAAATGGTTTATTTCACTTAAACTCTGATAATTGAACCAAATGCATTATATATATAACATTTTCAACATTATTCAGCAATTTAAGCCACAACCCTAGCTCCATAATCAATAATTCTTAACTAGAGAATCTATATTTTAATAAATGGATGAACAGTTAGATTTGGGTAACTCTCTAAATCTATGCAAAAGACAAGCATTACTTAACCCTGATTTCTAAATTTGAAATGAGCACCATTCTGTCAATAAGTTTCCACACTCAAAGCAGTAGTTCTCCAACTTCAGCATACATCAGAATCACCTAGAGGGGTTGTTAAAAGTACTAAACTAAAATGTTTGCGGGGTGAGGGCCAATATTTTGAGTTTTTAAAAAGTTCCAAGCTGATGCTGATGCTGTTTGACTAAGAATCACACTTTGAGAACAATTACTATATTCTTTGACAAAACTGGGTTTGAACGTTTTTTCTGAAATTTGCTCAGCTGTGTCCTTAAAAGTTATTGAACCTGTCTAACTATCATCTGTAAAATAGGATTATAAATCTCATGTATTTTTTTGAAGACTAAATGACAATAACAATGACAGTGCTTCAAAAACCAGTTTATGTTAAGCACGTAATAACTGTTAGCTGTTTCTATATTCTGTTAACTGTGATAAATAAGACAAGATTTTTGACCGTATTCTAACTATCAAAGAACAAAAACAACTCAATTTAGAGTCTAACTACTTACCTTCCATCCAAGGAAGCCACAGAAACTTCTCTTTGTCAATGCTGCTGCTGGAAACCTCTCTACATCTTTTCCAGCATTACCACACTACTTGAGACTATCATAAACACTACTGCCCAGGATAAAGAGTCTTCTCTTTCATAGCTTTATTGGTCCTGGCCAGAGCTACTAGTCCTCAAAAAAATACCTTGTTTAAATCTCATGAGTCCTACATAGTATTCAGAGGCCCCTTGGCTGAATACAAAACTCTGTCCAAGTTTTCATTGTAGCCCTTTCCATAAATTCCCTCAAGGCCCAGTTTTAATACTGTATCTCTGCTCCCCAAATCAGAGAAAATGAGAACTCCAGTTATTGCTGCTCAACCTGAACACAGATACATAACCAGTTTACCTCATGTCCCCAAAGCATTTTCCAATGGAATCACTCTTATAAATGGTGACTAAATTCTAAGGCATTAATAGTAAACTACATAAGAGGGTATTAAATAGGCTTCTTCAGGATGGCAAAGGCAAACTAGTAACATTTCTAAGATTATTTATTTTTAAAAGTCCAAGTTTCATACAACCTTCACATTGATTTTTTTTTTTTTTTTTCCTTCTTCAAATGTTCATATAATACCCTTCTGCTGAACCTGCATTTCCTTCTCCCTGGAAATCACTCCTCCCCTGTAGGAATAGGAAGTCTTATTCTTCCTTAAATAAATGACTGGAAGGCTTCAATAAATGCTCTCCTAACAACTATCATGCCTCTGGGAGGCCCTAACTACACAACAAAACCCTCTCCCATCCAATATGCTCCACAATATTTCAGATCTATTTTTACAACTGTTGGGGCTTGTTTCCCTCCCAAATTTATTACGAAAAATTTCAAATATTCAGAAACGTTGAGAGAACAGTTCACTAAACAACCATATGCCCACCATTAAACTCAACAATTGTCAACTTTTTTTAATATTTACTTTTTATTTATATAACCACATACATATGCATATATTTACTGCACCATTTGAAAGTAAGCTGTAGGCATCAACATACACGACCTCTAAATACAGTGGCATTCATCTCCAAAAAAATAATTGCATCTTTCTACTTAAACACAATACCATTTCCATCTAAGAATATTATTAAATTGTTCTACAACATTGTCTATACGTAGTTGCCTGGTAGCTTTTGAGAAACAAGGATCTCAACTATATATTTTCAGTTCTTAACTTAGTGTACAGCACTTATTTGGGTGATTAATAAATATTCTAGGATTGGGGATGTTGCTCAGTGGTAGAGTGATTCTAGCATGCAGAAGACCCTGGGTTCAATTCCCAGCACAAAAAAATTCTATCAATTGTTCATTTTAATATATCCTCATAACTACTCTATATGTCATATGAGTTTAAAACTTAAATAGAAAGCTTTGATTTTACTCCTATAAGCTTCCTGCACATCAATCAGTCACTAGTTTTAAATAAGCCTGTGCTGCAGTAAGTATCTGGGATTTTGAACTAGTTAATTCTGCATCACAATACTGATGCTCCACAAAGATATAGATCATGTCTGTCACTTGTCAGACACAAGTAGAAACACACAAAAATATTTTAAATGAATGAATACTTTTAGCCACTGAAATTGTTGATGAAAAAAAATTGGAATTGTGTAAGAATAATGGTAGGACAGTAGAATGCAGATTTTGGAACCAGAGAGATTTAGTTTCTAATAGAGATTCAAATGTTTACTTGCTGCAAAAGTTTACTGGGGAGAGTGTTACTTGACCTCTGAAAGCCTCAATTTCTACCTTTATAAAATAGGGGTAAATTTTGAGGAGTGACTGTGTAAAGCACTTGTCACAATGCTCATTAATGGAAGCTACTTTCACTATTTTATCCATCTGACTACATATTTCATTGAGGAAACTATAATAGCAAAACAAAATTCTATCCTAGTGTAGGGCTAGGATGCTAGTTGCTAAAGTCAGCCATGCTTCTTACTTCTACAGCTAAACCTTCCAGCTTGCTAAACGAAGATAACTATTACTTACAGTACTCCAAGATCAAATTTGCCAGGAAGTTGCCCAGAACCTCGTGAATGAGATCCAAAGGTCACTATCCACAAACCAGGATGTAATAGTCTCCAATCGATTAGTTGCAGCAGTGAACTGCAACCTCCGACCATAAAAGAAAACTGCAATAATGCACAAGGCTTTTGTTCTTTTAAAGTGGGCGTGGAGGCGCGACAAGCAAAGGAACAAAGAATAAGGAATGAAAATTATTTAAAATAGCCACTTCTAGGGCTGGGATTGTGGCTCAGTGGTAGAGTACTTGCCTGACAATGTGTAACTGGGTGCGATTCTCAGCACCACATATAAATAAGTGAATAAAATAAAGGTCTATCAACAACTAAAAATAAAAATAAAAAATAAATAGCCACCTCTACCCACAGCGGTCCTCAAATTCGAAGGTGCTAAACTTTGGTGGAACTAGTGGCAGTTAGGGGAAGCTCCGCAGTTCCCTAACTTAGCTGCCATTTGTGGAGTTTCAAAACCAAGAAACGAAAAAGGAAAGCAATGGAGGAGGAGGAGAAGGAGGCGGAGGAAGGGACAACAAGACGCAAGGGATCCTGAGGGCTGTACTGTCACTCTGAACCCGCGAAGCCGTTCAACCAACACATGCCCTTTCAAGGAGCCGCCTGTTTAGGGTCCTCAAAGCAAAGGAGACAAAGCAAATGCCTACCAGCGGCAGCAACCATCTGGAGATCAGTTTCTGTATCTCCTGTCCTCCATTGATCTTGGGGCCCTCACCTGACTCGGACGCGGTTGTCACGCGAGCTGCTGGAAATAGCCCGATACACATAGGTTTCCCCTTTTTATTCTGGGGACAAGGGTGGGTGAGGTTTTGGTCCTGAGACTTCAGCTGTACGCGGGGACAGGGGTCTTCTTCGTTCAGCAGCAGCTAAAGAGCCACATAGAGGTAGCTGAGGCACTACTACACCTCTTGAATCCCGGGCACGCCTCTTCTTCACCCGCCTAGGGTCTCACACACAAATTTGACCGGGCGGAACAATTTCCGGCAAGAGCCCAACGATCCGCCCTAATCTTTCCGGACCGAGGTTCCAAAGGCCCAGGAAGGACCGACTGGGATACTTCCGCTTCCTGTAGCACCAGATAAGTCGCGAGAGGAAGCTTAAATACAGTCGTTTGCATTTAGGACCACTTCGGTGAGTGGTCATTCTGATGTGCTTTATCATATGTACTGGTTTATTTTATTTTATCTTATTTTAAAGTGAAGTGTAATCTGACAGTAATTTCAAAACCATTCTCTTCGACTGAAGGCTGAAGATTTTGCGCAGGCGCCGTTGGGGCGGGAGGGTCTTGAACGTTGCGAAGTCCCACCCAGCAGGCTAGAAAGGGGAGAATATTGTTGTCGGGCCCTGGGAGGTGACAACTAGGTGGGATTGAGTTTTACTCAAAGTCGTTTTCCTGCTTGTGCATAGTTTATCTGGACCTTATCCTTAAAAGTCAGTTAACAAGCCATCAAAATGCTTGGGAAATACTTCTGCATAGTTATAGTATTTGAGACTCCAAGGTTATGAGTGAATTCAAAGGTCGGGTGCGGCTCTTGACTGACGTTAGAGCTTTCTGATCCATACTTTATCATAGTTGTGATTTAATCTGAAATATTGCCCCAAATTAAAGACTTCTGTGATGGGGAGAAACGTGAACTTAAGACAGGATCTTGTCACGTGGTTTTAAGGAAAAGAGGACATATTATTTTATTATTTCCCCTACGTGTGCATGTCAAAACCAGAATGGAAAAATAATTTTCAAAATGGAAATGAATATCTTATGTGGCTTCATGTGTATGCCTAAGGAGTTAAAGGCTTTTGTTGTTTTTGTAAGCTGAAATGAAGCAGAGAAGTATCTGGTATATTCATTTTCCAGTCTCTCACATTGCATAAAATTGTACTGGCCCATTTTTTTTCAACAATTAAAATAGAATACTTAAAAAAATCAGAATATAAATTCCAAGTTTTTGTATTATTGAAATCAAGATTTTACTTTAAGTTGTAATACATGCATATTATTACCTTTCAGAGGCATAGGTTACCAGCTTGATGGTTTTTACTCTTCTTGAAACACAAAACCTTATTGTATTTGAAGTAACACAGATAACTGTCTTACTTCATTGGACATACAAGATAAAATTATCAAAGAAATTAAGCAATAAATATTCACAAAGATATTTGTTCATTTTAACCAAATATGATCCTAACATTCCTTTTGCAAAAACAGAAGTTGTGATCACGCTCAACTACCTTTTCTGATTCCTAAATTCTTAAAAATATAAGCAAATCCAAAAATGGGCTAAAATACTCTTTATTTATGTAATTCAGACAGATCTCTTAATTCTTTGTGAATGATACCTTTGCTTAATAATCTGTGCATAGAAGATATTTTATTATGTTTGCCCTGAATGTTGCAGCTTAAAACCATTCTTCTCATATTAACTACCTCTCAAATGGTTGGTTTCTCGCGACCAGGTGATGAATAGAAAAAATTTCTGTTTTTTAAATTATTTTACATAAATACCAAACATGAATAACAACTCTTAACCATCTATTTAAAAGGCAATGCTTTTATAAACTCATCTGTCTTAGGCATGTTCTATTTCTCATCTGTCTCTTAAATTCAGAGCCAGCATTAAACCATAAGGTCATTATAGCTGAGTGCAGTGGAACACACCTAAATCCCACTACTCAGGAGGTTGTGGCAGCAGGATCACAAGATAGAAGTCAGCCTGTGCAATTTAGCAAGACGTTCTCTTAAAAAATAAAAGACTGGAGATGTGACTTAGTGGTAGAGTGTCCCTGGGTTTAATCCCTATTACTGCAAAAGTATGTAAATAAATAAATAGTCATTATAAATTATATGCCTCCTGAGTCTTCTGGGTTTTGCTATTAGCAGTATAAATTTATAAATAAACATAGCTCTAAAACATTAATCACTATTAATGTAAGGACAGAGATTTTAAAATCTTTTTTCCTTATAAAAATTTTGAGAAAAGAAAGTGTTCTCTTAAAACAGCCTGATGTGAATGATAATATTTGAATATAACAATAAATACATATTGCTTTACTATTTACAAAGGACTTATCAAATCCATTATATCATTAATCCTCATTATTGTAAAAAAAAAAAAAGGACAGTTGTTATGTCTTTTTTTTCCCCCAAACATTGGTACTGAGTCGTAGGTAAGTATCAAACACCTGTAATTCTTACTCCATCCTTCTTAGACAACACCCTTCTTGAAATTCCATGTATGTATTCTCACCAACAGTACTCTGCAACTTTGATAGTACTTGTTTTTTGTTTTCCTGTTGTTTATATAATAGTATTGTATTGTGGTTTTAATTAACGTTTTTTTTTTGTTGTTGTCTCAAGTGATGTACAGTACTTTTCATTTGTTTATTTAACCATATATCTATACAGCTCTTTTGCTCATTTTAAAAATTGGATTGTTTTCTTATAAATTTTGAAAGTTCTTTATAAATTTCAGATAGAAGTTCTTTATTGGAAATGTGTTTTGCAAATATTTTCTCCCAGATGTGATTTCTTTTATTTTCTTAACAATATATTTAAAAGAACAAAAGTTATAATTTTTATTTCATAAATGATGTTTTTTATTTGTTATTTTGGAAGTATTGCCAGACCAAAGTTCTTCTCTTCTAGAATTGGACTTCTGTAATTATAGGTTTTATATTTGGACCTATGACCCATTTTAAGTTAATTTTTACATATAGTGCAAGGTATAAGTTGAAGTTCATGGTTTTTTTTTTTTAATACAGTTGTTTATTTGTTCCAGTATTTATTGAAAACAGACTTTCTTCATTAAAATTACTTTGGAACTTCTGCTGAAAATCTGTTTACCATATCTGAGTGGATTTTTATTGGAGACTCTTATTTTTTTCCATGGATCTACTGCTCTCATTTTGCTAGTACCATAGTCTTGATTGCCACACCATCACTTGGTCCCAAGAAACTGAGTCTTGTAATAATGAAGTTCTTTAACTATTTTTACTTTACAAAATTGTTTTAACTTTTCTAAGTCCCATGTCAATTTGAGAACTGGCTTATCTGTTTCTACAAAAGAGTTTCTGGGTTTCTGATTTGGATTGCATTGAATCTTTAATCATTTTGGGGGAAATTGGCATCTTTGTAAAGTTGTCCAGCTTTTTCTCCTTGTTAGGGTGGGAGTAACTTTACAACCTTCTACATTTTAGAAACTTCTGTGGGAATTTTTAAATGATATTTCAGATGGAAACAATTTACTTTCATTGTGTTATTCACTGTAATATCCTTATGGGAAGAGATAATAAGATTAATTCCTTTATTTGTAAAATGGATGTCATCCCTTACTGCTTTCTCAGGAACATAATACTGTCACTTATTATTTTTTCCTCTCCTCCATTTCTAATAGTCTTTCTCTGGAAGCCCTTCCTCTTAAAACTTTTTGGGTTATTCCCTTCTTGCAACCAAAACAATTTTTCTTTAATTTTTAAAAATTGTAGTAATTTGAAATTTACCATTTTAACCATTTTTAAGTGTGCCATTAACTAACTAGCATTCAGTCCATTAATATTGTATAACAATCACCACCGTCCATCTCCAGAACTCTTTTCACCTTGTATAAATGAAGCTATACCCATTAGACAATAATTTACCTCTTTCCTGCTCCCTATTTAGACCAATGACTGAACCTTGTGTCTATCTCTTTTGTTTGTTTATTTGTTTGTTTTTAAATACCTTTATTTTATTTATTTATTTTTATGTGGTGCTGAGGATTGAACCAAGGGCCTTGCACATGCTAGGCTAGCACTCTACCGCTGAGCCATAACCCCAGCCCCTCCCCCCATCTATCTCTTTTTTCTTCTTTTTTTAATTTGTTTTAATTAGTTACACATGACAGTACAATGACCTTGACATATCATACATTTGAATCAGATGGGATATAATATCTCATTTTTCTGAGTATGCAAGTTGCATAATCACATTAGTCATGCATTTACATATATACACACAGTAATAATAATGTCTGTTTCTTTCTACTATCCTTCCTATCTCCCCACCCCCTCTCCTCCCCTTCCATCACTTCTCTCTACCTAATCTAGGGTAACGCTATTCTTTTTTTTTTCTCATATCTTCATTCATGTATTTTGTATAACAATGAGGGTCTCCTTCTACCATCCATGCACACGCGCACGAGCACACACACACACACACACACACACTGGGTACAAGTCCTTTGTTTTATATATATATATATATATATTTATTTATTTATTAATTAATTAAAGACATCTTTTCCCAGTTTCTGACTTGCCTTTTCACTTTCTTAATAGTATCTTTTGATGAACAGACATGTTGACTTTTATGAAATCCTAGTATTTTTTTTGTATATGTCCTGTTTAAGAAATCTTTGCTTATTCTAAGGATTTCAAGATCTTTTCCTTTGTTTTCTCCCAGAAGCTTTGTTGTTTACCTTTCACATTTAGGATTATGATCTATGTGGAATTAGTGTTTAAGAAAAATGTGAGGCAGCTGCTTAATGGCTTTATTTTCCTATAAAGATATCCAGTTATTCCAATATCACTAAAAGACCATATCTTCCCCCATTATATTGAATGTTTTATTGTAAACTAATTGACTTTATGTGTATGGATCTAATTCTGCATTCCCTATTCTGTTCCAGTGGCCTACTTGTCTATTTTTATGCCAGTTCTACAGTGTCTTTTTTACTTATTTTTATACAAGATCTTAAAATCTAATCCATTAATTTTCAAGGGTTTTTCAGAAGCTGCAATATACTACTTTGTTCAATTTGTGGGTACAGCCATCTTTTATAAAATGAAAAAGTTATATATTTAAATGAAAGTGGATTAAACTTAGAACATATTGATTGATAATACTTTGCAGAGAACCGACCTGTTTTTTAGATTATAATGGGACTATGTCAGCATTACAGAAGTTTTACTTTTAAGCAGATTATACTTCATGTTAACTTAATATTGAAGGATGTTAGAATTGCATTGGTATTTTCTGTGAACTTGTAAATAGACCAGAAAAGTGTTATTAGCTGTTCAAAGAGCTGTATCATAGGAAAAGAGACTTATACATCTTAAGCTATGGTTCATTGGCATACTCTGTTCTGCTTTGTTCCAATGTTCTCTTTACAGTAATATATTCTTTGTTTCATCTTGAGATCCTCCAATAGTCAGAAAATATGTTGTTTTTAGAATTTCGAATTTTAATAATTTGTATTAGAGTTGTAGCAGGAAAATGAAGATATATTCTCTTGTGGTTTTTAAAGAAAATTTAATAAAATTCCTTTTTTCAGAGGTATGGATAGGGACAAATAAACCTGGAGATTAATAGCAGCAAAAAATAGTTCCTACTTCTAGGACTGACATGTCAAGAAGAAATGATTTTGACTTCCAGTGAGAATTAGAGACAAAGAATACAGGCTCCCCGATGGGTGCTCTTTGTAAAGGGTTGCAGCTTTATCTAAGGAAAGAGCCAGTAAATAAATATCCTGACTTCTTTCTTCTCTTGCATTCTGATTTGCCACTGCCTCCCACTGATAATTCCAATCAGAAAATGATAAATGCAGAGTGTAAGGGTCAATTTCCTAGGGCACAGCGAACAGGAGAGAAAGGCCAAAAGTGGATATGGAGGATTGAGCATGGTGGCAAATAGAATAACACAGAATTGTTCCTTTTAACTGAAAATATGAAATAAAAGCTTTTTTTTTTTTTTGTAAAAGGTTCACCATGTTACCTATAGTCTGTTATAGAAAAGGGTTTGGTTTTGCTTTTGCCAGTACAGCCAGATTTTTTTTTTTATGACATTGACAGAGTATATGCAGCACCAAAACTCATTTTTGTTCAAGATAAATAGTTTACATGTAGATCAGAAGAATGTATGAGATCTGGCTGCTAAATATCTTCTCTGTCATGTATCATTAAAACATTCACAAAATATATTTAACATATGATTTGAATATGAGGTTTTTTGCATTTTGTACTGATCATGAATGTATTTAGAAGTAATATAAAATTACATTTCTCTCCTTATAATCTGTTATTTAAATGTCACAAAACAGGACCAACCTATGTAAGTAACATTTTCATTGTTGGCAATAAGAGGACTAACCAAACCTTACAGAGATTATATTTGTTCATTTTTCCCCTAGTATATAGAAAATTTTCAGCATTGCTTATCACACAAAAAGAGACAAGATAATTTGTCTTGATTTATCTCAAAAATAGCATTTGAATATTTTTGTTCACATACATCACTCTGTTACTTTTTTGTACTACAATTGTCTCCCTCCCAGAAATGTTTTGGGAATGCTCAATTCAAAAGCAGAGATGTGACAGAAACCTGAACTAAAATAGGCTTTTCCCGAAGCATGAATTAGATTATTATTTAAGTAATATCTTTAAATATCTTTTACCTAGGTTCACGATGGTCCGGAGTGGAAAAAATGGTGACCTTCATCTTAAACAGATTGCATATTATAAGCGAACTGGTGAATATCATTCAACTACACTACCAAGTGAGAGAAGTGGCATTAGAAGAGCAGCAAAAAAATTTGTCTTCAAAGGTGAAATTAACATCCAAAATTTTGAATATAAGTTATAGATTCTTTTCCACATGCGTTTTTATTTTGTGGATTCCTGATAATTTCTGTGGTAATTTGTTGTTGCTAAACAGTTATGAGTTAAGATGGTAATGAAAATCAAAAGCAAAATGAGAAATCATACTGAAGCCAACGGAAGGCCAGTAAGCATAAGAAGGGCCTTCAGAATTATATACAGAGATACCATGAAAAAATAAATAAAACCTACATAGAAGCCTGCGTGAGAATTGATTGATTTTTCCTTCCTTTGTACTTCAGTAGTTCCTACTTAGATGGGGCATTTTCAAGCACTTACGCCACTGTAAATAAGGAATTTATTTGATGTTTAATATAAAAATATTAACAAAGTTAACTAATTTGTTTTCTAAAAGAAGAAATGGAGGGAATTAACTGTATTCATTTCTGTGCCCCCCCCCCCCACACACACTGCTATAAAGTATTCTCAGAGTTACATTTATTTTTGGATCCTGAATTCCCTTGATAGATTAAATATTTGAAAGGCAGTGCAATATTTATCTTGAAAGGTCCTCTTCCCCCCTTCCCTCCTCCAAAGAGGATCAGAAGTTTGGGATAGGATAGATAAGAAGAATAGTCAATGAGTAGCTAAATGAGTGTCGGTGCTTTTAATGGGAGTTTTGCACATAGGTATGTTAGGCTTTTCCCAAAGCATGTCAAGAAAATTCTAATAAACAAATGCCTGTTCTCCTCTCCTGTGTACATGCCTATCAATAACTCCATATGCTTAAAGAAGGCAGACTATTTACTTCTTATACCCTTAAAGTGAGATGTTGGGGATGCAAATCAAGTCAAGATGGCGCCTGGCACTTTGTCAGGAGAAGTGGTTTGTGAAGCAATGCCAGTGAGCCATTAAGATGATGAGGATTCCTTATTGGCTGACTGCTGATGTTAATTGAGTCAAGCTGTGTGTAATTAGTTAAGTATATATACCTCTGCTATCTGGCAGAGAAGTGGCTCCTGCTACCTTGGGTGCCTGCTACTTTGAGTTCCCGCTGAGTTCACTCGCAATAAAGTAGTTCCCATTTCAACCTTCAAGTTGCTTGTCACTTCTCGGTTATTTTGCCCAGCCGGACTGCGGCAGTGAGGATTCATTTTTATTCATTTATTTAATCATTTATGGAAAAAATGTTTAACTGAGTTTTCACTGAATGCCAATCATATCCTATGCCCTTAAGATATATAAGAGTTCCTGATTTATAAGATAAAGAGTTCCTTTACTCAGAATGCTTTCCTTCTAATTAAATAAGGAACATTTTATTCAGCATGTGTTTTAGCACATAGGAGCTTAGTGCTAGATTCTGTCCTTTAAGTAGTTATCTTGTCCATACTGGAGAAGTGATGGTTCTGAATCCCTTGGTTGTTTCTCAATTGCAAATTCTTCTCAGGTATCCTAAAGAAAATGCAACTAGCTTGGAAAAGTGGATTGTGCCTGTAATCTCAGCAGTTTGGGAGGCTAAAGCAGGAGGATCATGAGTTCAAAGCCACCTCAACAATTTAGCAAGGCCCTAAGCAACTTAGTGAGACCCTGTCATTAAATAAAATATTCAAAAACGGCTGGGGATGTGGCTCAGTGGTTGAGTGCCCTAGGTTCAATACCCAGTACTAAGGAAAAAGAAAGAAATGCAATTAGCTCAGTGTAGTGGTATAGCCCTATAATTCCAGCCACTGGCAACTTCAAGTTGGAGGCCATCCTAGGCAATTTAGTCAGTTCCTCTTTTTTTTTTTTTTTTTTAAATAAACAGGCCTGGGGAGGTATCTCAGTGGTAGAGTGCCCTGAGTTCCATCCTTAGTACTATAGGGGGGGAGGGGGAAGGAAAGAAAATAACTTAAAACATTTAGCTTATTCCTCTTTACCAACCCTAGCTTTTATTCAAATCTAGAAAAAGCAGAGAGGGGTAGTTGCTTACAAAACTACAGTTATATAAGTGCAATATTTTTAGAAAATTCTCTTCCGGGGGTTATTTTTCTGTATATAATTCATTTGCTAATTTATGCCATTTTTAGGAGGCATCTGCAGATATTTGTCCTAGTTTGAGCTCTCACATAGATAATTTCATACTGTCACAGTTATTACATGCTTTGGCAAATAAGCTGGCTCTGCTTATATTGATAGTTACAGAATTAAAGCAGCTAGGGTTCTTCCTAGATAGCCAATAAGTATAACAGCTAAGGACCTTAGAGTTTGTATGGTGACATCATTACAAATAAATATTATTTTAAGTGGAGAAAGACTTTGTAAATTCAGTAACTCCATAGTTTGAAGATAAGTCTGTGATTATCTTTATGATATAAATTTTTAAAAAGTTACAGTTTTATCTCTTTGGTATCATTTATTCCAGAAAAAAAGCTGTTTTATGTTGGAAAAGACAGAAAACAAAATCGTTTGGTAATTGTTTCAGAAGAGGAAAAAAAGAAAGTCCTAAGAGAATGCCATGAAAATGACACTGGAGCTCATCATGGCATATCCAGAACTCTCACTTTAGTGGAATCCAGTTACTATTGGACTTCTGTGACCAATGATGTCAAACAGTGGGTATGGCTTTATGTATTTAGAACACTTTGACTAATATCTTTTTAAGAAGTATGCAAAATTTGTTGTTGCTCCAGATTTACTCTGGTTTCTCATTAAGTATTTTTTTGTATGGGAGTTTATGTACTAAAAAAATATTAATTGTTTTATTTCCCTTCACAGTTCTTTTAAATCACTAAATTGCAATTTGAACTAAAATAAAAGTATTGTTTAAACATTTGAAAATACTATATTTAGGGCTGGGGTTGTGGCTCAGCGGTAGAGTGCTTGCCTAGCATGTGTAAGGCACTGTGTTTAATCCTCAGCACCACATAAAAATAAAATAAAATGAAGGTATTGTGTTCAACTAGAATTAAAAAATAAAATATTTAAACAAAGAAAATACCATATTTATATAGATGATTTAGAACCACATTTTCATCATTGAACTTTTTTGTATAGGCAGAATTTAAATGGGGCTGAAATTCCTTTGATTAATTCATTACATTTTTAATGCCAGTCATATTTTCTGTATGCAGGAGAATATGTTTACAAATCAAACCCAGTTTCTGCTCTCAGCTTTCATTTCTATTCCAATTTGAGTTAGAAAGTGTCAAACATGGCAGAAACTCCAAACCAAAATCAAATTGTGAACCTGCCATGCATCCCTTATAAACATGCAGTGAAATCTTTGCCACTGAATATGTATGATTTGAGAATGGATATGATCTTTTGAAATTATCAGAGGTTATTTCTGATTAAATCTGGTGAATAAGTTGGAAAGTGAAAAAATCTGATCAAAAGTAACTATGACTATACTGTAGTACGATCATTTAAAATTTTTTCTTAAAATTAGTTTGGAATTAGTCTCCAAAGTGAAATTACAGAAGTACATTGAAAAATGGCACCATCCATAAATTTATCATTTGATCTCATCTCACTTCCTTTAACTGAAACATGGGCTTTGTTTTTGTTCACTGACCCCTCTTTTTTTGTTCATTAGGACCTAGAGAAATTCCTGGTGTCTATAAATGTTGTTATTGAAATTACATCAATGAATATTCTTGGAGTAAATGAATGAATGAACATCTTAAGAGTGATAACTTTAGAAACATCTTTTACATATAGAAATTATCGCATATTCACAAACTGATTTAAAGTCATAGAAAATGAATCATCACATAGTTTCCCATAAATATGTACAATTTTATGTGTCAATTAAAAAGTAAAATAATAGGGACTGGGGATGTGGCTCAGTGGTAGAGTGCTTGCCTCGCACATGTGAGGCCCTGGGTTCCATCCTTAGCACCAAATATAAATAAAGTAAAGGTATAAAAAACAAAGTAAAATAATAGGAAAACTTACTTTAAGACCTATTGGTTTAATAAATATTTATTGAATGTGAATTAGAATTATGTTCCATGTGACTAAAACCCTATAAGATGGTCATTTGATAGAAATAGCAATTACTATTTGCTTATTGTTCTTAATAAAAGATTTTTGTTTTGAATTTAATTATTTTTTTTCTGTACCACTGAGCTTTATACTTTTGTTTTCATGTTGTTATTTTCAACTTGAAAATTTTCCTTTAGCATTTCTTACAAGGCAGTCCAATGACAATTAACTCACTTTTTTTTTTGCCCTGGAAATGTCTTGATGTTGCCTTCATTTCTAAATGGCAGCTTTTCTGGGTAGAATATTCTTAGTTGTTAGTTTTTCAATAAAAGGTTTAATTCAGTTTGCTGTTCTTAGTCCAAAAGTTTCTCCTTCAAAATGCAAAGTACCTACTAACCATTTCAAAATTACGATTTATAAGATTAATTTTATATGTCAACTATATTAATATTTGTCTTTATTTTCTTTATTGTGTTCCTCTTTGTAGGTATATGCTTGTCAGCATTGCCAAGTGGCAAAAAATACAGTTATTCTAGCACCTAAACAACACCTTCTCAAGGTGGACAATCCATGGAGTATAGTTACTGTTGATCTGATGGGACCTTTTCATACAAGCAACAGAAGTCACGTATACGCTTTAATCATGACAGATTTGTTTACAAAGTGGGTTATGATTTTGCCTCTGTGTGATGTTTCAGCATCAGAAATTTCTAAAGCTATTATCAATATATTTTTCTTATATGGACCTCCTCAGAAAATAATAATGGACCAAAGAGATGAATTCATTCAACAGGTAGGATGATTAAACTACTTAGGTTTGAGAGTATATTCTTCCTGCCTTTCAGTGTTCAGTCCACAGTGCCCTGTGCATGATAAAGTGCTTAATAAGTTCAGATAAATTGCTATGGTACAAGGGTAGTTGGACTGGAAATTAGGAGACTAGATTTTAGTACTTACTGTGCTGCTAAATATTTGTAAACCTATCTTTGGGAATCCTCAAACTAAAATGAGAAGATTACACAAAATAATCTTTGTTTGCTTCTTGCCCATGAAGCCAGATGGAAGATTAGGGGAGGAAAGGAAGGGGGTTAAGGGGGAAGAGACAGGAAAGGGGAGAAACTACAGAATGAAATTAACCAGGGCTGGTGTTGTGGCTCAGTGGTAGAGCACTTGCTTAGCACATGTGAGGCCCTGGGTTCGATTGTCAGCACCACATATAAGTAAATAAAATAAAGGTCTATTGACAACATATATATATTAATTATATATCTATATATTAATCAAATTATGTGATGTACTTATATGAGTATACCACAGTGAATTCCGCCTTTATATGTGTCTATAAAGCACAAATCAAAAGAAAAAAAAACCAAGAACAAAAAATTAGAAGACAAACCAGTAGAATAGAGGAAAGGGAGCAGAGGGAAGGAATGGGATGAGGAAAGAAGTACTGGGAACTGAAATGAAACAAAGTGTGTTCCATATGTTTATGATTATGTCAGAATGAACCTCACTTATATATAACTAGAATGCACTGATAAAAACTTAAAAATCTCTAATTGTCAGGTAAAGGGGGACTTGACTAGATGGAAAAATACATCTTATACATGAATGAGAATATTCAATATTGAAAGATGTTTTTCCCCTTGTCTTGGCCTTTTACCTAATTAAAGTTAATCTGGAAGAATAAGCAGGCAATAATATGTATGAAAAGTCTAAAAAACAAATGTAATACTGTTAGACTTAAAGCCTATTTTAAATTTTTGCAGTTAAACCAGGCAGAGTGGTACATACCTGTAGTCCTAGCTACTTGGAAGGCTGAGGTGGGAGGATCACTTGTGCCCAAGAGTTCAAGATGAACCTGAGCAAAATAACAAGACTTTGTTAAAAAAAAAAAAAAAAAAGGAAAGGAAAGGAAAAAAAGTATAAAATTTCATAAGGGATAGATTACCGTATAGGAATAATCAGAGTTAGCTAGACTTTCTTGGTACATAATACCTATGATGTCTCAGTCCAAAAGAAATACCTAAACTTGTATTTATTAAGTAGTTAGGGCTTGTGTGAGGATCCCTAAGACTATCCCCATCTTCCACTAGGGACAATCCTCATGATTCACTAGGAGAACACAGCATTTAGGCATATTCATGGTTAATGTTTATTCAGTGGAAGCATATAAAGCAAAATCAGCAAAGAGAAAAGGTATATGAGGAGAAGTCAGAGAAATACAAGAAATAGTAACTTGTGTAAGCTCCTAAGATCTCTCCCACTAGAGACACAGGATGTGTTTATTTTCCTGCAGCAGTGAATTGTGACAAGGGATGTGGAATATTGCCTACAAGGGAAGCTCTTTGGAGACCCAGTGTCTCGAGTTTTTACTGGGACCTTTTCTCATAGGCACCCTGACCTGGCATATAACAAATTTCTAAACCCTCAGAAGGAAAAGTGTTTAGCAAAAGCCACATGATTTGTATAAACTATTCAGGCATACTGAGCCACGCTTATCAGAAAGTGGGTAGAACCTTTTTGGTGGGAACCAGAATCCAAGATCTTAGATATCTGCCAAGGACCAATCTTATAAGGAGGATTTTTTTTTTTTTTTTGTACTAGGGATTGAATCCAGGAGTGTTTAACCACTGAGACACAATCCACAGCCCTTTTTTGTGTTTTATTTAGAGATGGGGTCTCACTGAGTTACTTAGATCCTTGCTAAGTTGCTGAGGGTGACTCTGAACTCGAAATCTTTCTGCCTCAGCCTCCTCCTGAGTCACTGGGATTATAGGCGTGTGCCACCAGCTCAGCATAAGGAGGACTTTCAAAGGATAGCAGTCTCAGACCTTCCATGTTAATTCTTTTCAGCACAGGTCTATGCAGACAACTTAATAAGCATTTACATCCTAACCCACTTAATATCCATTTTAAAATATAACACTCGTAGCTGGGGGTGTAGGTCAGTAGCAAAACATACTTAGCATACATGAGATCCTGGGTTTAATTCTCAGCACTAAAATAATGAAGAAAATGAAATATGTATATGTTTATAAAATACTCATAAATTGAAAGTATTTTTACTTCATTCAATAATCAAAAACTATGTACCTGTTGTCTACTAAATGAAAGCCAGGCAACGGGGGACACACCTCTAATCCCAGCCACTTGTGAGGTTAAGGTGGGAGGATCAAGAGTTTTGAGCTCAGCCTGAATAACATGGCAAGATCCTTTCACCAAAAAAAAAGAAAGAGAGAGAGAGAGAGAAAGAAAGAAAGAAATTCAATAATGATAATATAGTAGCCATTATGATTAGCTAGCAGGTTTTTTTGGTCATGTTCAAAGTAACTTTAACGTTTACTAAAGATAATAATAAATGTTTACAAGTCTTTTTTGTGAGATTTCTTTATAATAAAAAAGTTACATATGTTTGGGAAAATTTGTACTTTTTGCTGTGATTAAACTGAAATATTTCATAAAAGTATAATGGTGAAAATGTAAAATGTATTCTTTTATCAGCAAATACAGAAAATCCTGCTTGGGCTGGGGTTGGGCTGAGTGGTAGAGCACTTACCTAGCATGTGTGAGGCACTGGGTTTAATTCTTAGCACCACATGTAAATAAAATAAAGGTCCACTGACAACTAAAAATAATTTTTTAAATAAATAAAGAAAACACTGCTAGAGTGTTGAAGTAAGTTTAGAACAATAAACAAATGGGAAATTTATTATACATTTAGATAAAAATTCAGATATTTCTAACATACTCAGCTTAGAGTATTTGCTAAATTGTTTCCATAAAAGATAAGAAAACTTTTTGTAAACTTCTGAAGAAAAAGAATAAGCCTTTATTATTTGTTCTTTTAAAATATACATTGACAGTAGAGTGTATTTTAAAATATTATACATATATTGAGTATAATTTATTCTAATTAGGATCCCATTCTTGTGGTTGAATATGATGTGGGGTTATACTGGTCATGTGAGAATAAGACTTTTCAATGGGAAAACATCTTCATTTTTTTAAATGTCATATGAAACTAAAATTGTAACGACTGATAGAATATCTGATTAGATGGTTGAGGGAAAAAGTTGATGGGATAAGGTTATCACAAGTAGATTCACTGGATCATTCCTAGGCAACCTTTTGTAACAAAGAGATTGAAGCCTTTTCCATGAGTCATTTAAAGCCATTGATCAAGTCCTCAGATTGAAACTGACTTCAGTGACAACTGTTCTCTGAGATTTCTAATTACTTTTTAATCAAAAGGAGAAAATTAGTAGATAAGAACTGAATTAGTACATATATCAGCATGGAATTGTGTTCAGCAGCAAGTAACAGAGAATTCCTCTTCCTTCTCCAATACGTAAACTGCAGAAAGAATTTGTTTTGTACTCAGGCAAAAGAAGACCAGGCTGAAAAGAAAAGAATGATAACTGTGAATATCATTGGGAACCCATGCTGAGAGCTTTCTGTTCTACCATCTTTGGGTAGTTACTCTGAATTTTAGGCACATAATATGCCAGAGCTCAGGTCACAGTGTCTACATATCAGTCAGAAGAAAGGGGAGGACAGTGAGCAAAAACAAAAAACAAAAAAACTAATTAAAGCTGAGATTATATAATAAATTTAGCATATCTTTTTTTCTGCCAGAATTGTATTTCATGAGCACTTTTACCTTCCAGGGAGATTGGGAAATACAGTTGCATTTCTTTTAGCTTTTCTCTGATTAGCATTACATGTTTAATTGTAATGTAAGGCTTGGTTGTAGCTCAATGGTAAGGCGTTTGCCTAGCATGTGTGAGGCATTGGGTTCCATCCTTAGCACCACATAAAAATAAATAAAATAAAGGTATTGAATCTATTTTTTTTTTTAAAAAGTGTGTGGGGGGCACGATGGCTGATGTAGGAAAAGTAGTTATTTTACATTTTACTGTTAACAAGTTTTCTAAACTCATTTTAACTTCTTTTAGGCCCTGCATAAAAATAACTGCAATAGCAACAAAAATAATAGTAGTAGTTCATAGTAATAAAGGTAGTTAAAAGTAATAAAGTAGCTAAAACTAATAAGTTCTTGACTATTGCTTGGCAAGAATTCTTTTTAAATGCTTTATAAACATTAATTTATTTAATTCTCATAGGAGTTCTGGATAAGAAGTTTCATTATTTTACAGATAAGGAAGTTTGGCCAAGTGAGTTTCAGTCACCTGGCCAAGGGCACCTGCCTGTTTACTGAATTATGTGACCTACTATATATATATGATGAACTGAATTAAAAAGTTACTTGGATACAGAATTGCTGTTAAATCCTGACCTTCTGTTTCTTTATTTTATGTGTGTGGTAAGGCAGTTAACCTCCCAAGGTTATCTTCAAAGTAGGGTTAATAATACCTCAGAAAATCATTTTAAGATTTAATGACAACAATGTAAAGCATCTTTTGTATTGACTATCACATAGCAAGGACTCAGTAGTAACTACTATTTTAAGTAAAATATCACAATTATTTTTATTTTTTATTTTTGAATTATTGGAAATTGATTGTAGGGGCACTTCACCACTGAGCCATATCCCCAGCCCTTTTTTATTTTTGATTGTGAGATGGGGTCTGGCTAAGTTGTCCAGGCTAAATTCTTTTTGAAGTCTTTTTTAAATCAGTGAAAAATACAAATGTTAAAAAGTCAACTTTGTTTTATGTATTTTTCAGATCAATGATGAACTATATGGATTATTTGGTACAAAACAGATTATAATTCCTCATGCCTCTGGAACTGTTAATCCAACTGAAAGTACTCCCAGCACAATCAAAACATTTCTTTCCAAATACTGTGCTGACCATCCCAACAACTGGGATGAGCACCTATCAGCTCTTTCATTTGCCTTCAATGTAACTCACTTGGTATGTGCCTTTATATTAATTCTGTACTTCTGAGTTATGACTATTTCTTGGCTAGAAAACATATTTTATTACAAAATTGTTGTTTATTTTTCTTAAAATAGGAACCTACTAAGAATACACCATATTTTCAAATGTTTAACCGAAATCCTTATATGCCAGAGACTTCGGATAATCTTCATGAAGTGGATGGTGGTAATACAAATATGTTTGCTAGAATTCTAGATGCAATTAAAGAAGCTGATAAAATAATGGAGAATAAGACAACTTCAGTGGGCCAGGTGATTCTATTTAATTCCAGTGGCTTGGGAGGTTGAGGCAGGAGCATCATGAGTTCAAAGCCAGCCTCAGCAACAGTGAGGCGCTAAGCAACTCAGTGAGACCCTGTCTGTAAATAAAATACAAAATAGGGCTGGGGATGTAGCTCAGTGGTTCAGTGACCCTGACTTCAATCCCCAGTAACCCCCCATCTCCCCCCAAAATGAAAAACTATAGAACTCTATAAAGTGATATTTATTCTTAAAATTTCAGCATGTATACATGTTCATGCACATATATATGCCATACCCTTAAACCAAAATGTTTCTATATGTTAAGTTCTTCTTGTCTTAGTTAAATAGTATGCTTGCTAGTTTGGAATTCTGATAGTAATGAGAAAATTATGAGTTTTAGAATCATAGCTGTATTCTGTATTTTGACTTTGAGAAATGACTAACATTTTAGTTTGCCTTCTCTGTGTAGCAGGGGTGAAAATACTGACTTTGAAATGTTACTTTAAGAATTGAATCAGACTCTTGCCTACTTTTCAGTAACCATTTTGTTATAATATTATCATTATCTGCATTTGCCTTCAAGAAATAACTCACCTCTTGCTTTTTTTTTTTTTTACATTTGTAGATGGAGAACAACAATTTAGATGACCTAAATAAAAGCAAAATCATTGTTAAAAAGAAACCAAAGCAATTAAATCCATTTCATTTAAAAGTGGGTCATGAAGTTTTAAGACAAAGGAAAAATTGGTGGAAGGATGGTCGTTTTCAATCTGAATGGGTTGGTCCTTGTGTCATAGACTATATTACAGAAAGTGGATGTGCTGTCCTCAGAGACAATACTGGAACTAGGCTTAAAAGACCTATCAAAATGTCCCACCTTAAGCCTTACATAAGAGAATCCAGTGAACAAGGTAAATATCTGTCACTTTTGTGCATTTTTACTTTCTTTGAAAAGAGAAATTAAAAATACTAGAAATCTTTCTTACTTTTTGGGCTTTTTTTTTTGTTCTTATTATTTTTATGCAATTTGATAATAGTTTTAGGTAGGTATCCCAAGTCTGTTTTATTAGAATGTGTCTTCTGAAACTGAAAGATTTTATTTTGATTTGTAGTAGGCTTTTTAGTAATTCATGTGGAAAATACTGAACCTATATCTTCTGTTTTTGCTTTCACAACATCCTGTTAGACACTTGATGCCTGATTTTAGCATGGAAAAAAATCAACTAAAATTATCAATGCCATAAACAAACATTGTACAGAATTTAGTTGTGAAATAAATAAGGGAACTTAAAAATGTCGTGAGTGGGGAAAGGTGAGGGTACAGGGTGGGTTGTTCCCACAATGCTATAAAACATGATTGTACTCTAAACAGTCATAATTATCCCCAAATATGTCTAGTTCTTTATAGTCAAGATAGCTGATCTTTTTAACCTTTACTTTCATAGACTAGTTAAATAACATTTTTGCTATGGCTTTCAGATTAAGTCTCCTACTTTAACAAGACTGTTTTATTTTGTCCCTAGAGCTTCTCTGGGACAGGTGACTGAGAGAGAGTTAACTGATACCTTAGCCAATAATTATGCTTTTTATCTAAAGAAAGGTACAGCATAAGTAATATTTGAATATAAGTAACAGCTAATGGATGATACAATATTGATTTTGTTTGTTTGTTTTATGGCATTGGGAATTGAATTCAGGGTCACTCTACCACTGAACTATACCCCCAGCCCTTTTTATTTTATTTTGAGTTATGGTCTCAGCTCAATTGACCATGATGACTTACATCTTATGGGCATGCACCACCATACCCAGCCAACATACTATATTTTAAACAATATAAGCAAGTTATTTAGCAGGTTTAAATAAATAGCAACAAGAGCCGCAATGACAAGTAACCTACACTTATCCTGTATTTGGATGTGAAGCCCTTAGGAGCCGGTCAGTAATAATAGCTCAACTATGCTTCTTATCTAAGCCACAACTCTAGTGCTAAAAGCTCTTAGTGCTTTTCCTTCTTGTGACAGACACAGTTATTCTAGTCAGTAAACTTATCTTGACTATGTTCTAATTCTGAAAACTCACAAGTACTTTCATTTTCTTTGTTAGAAGGTAAGTGCTTTCATTCCTTGTGCCTCTTGGTTCTCAGCTACCCGGTATAATCTCTTGCTTCCACAAGTTATGTAGAAAAAAAGATTATATATTTATAAGCTATCCTTTCTGTAGCAAGATTTCTTTCTTATCTTGGCTGTTCAGGACTTGCTGCCTTCTAATGTACTGACCTTCCTTAATACAAAATTTACACTTAAAATGATCCTGTATCATGATCTGTTTCAATATTTTTTAGTTTACTTTTACCACAGACTTTCTCAGAAAGGACAGCAGATATTTTGCTGCTTCTGAATATAGCTAATCTTAATTGGGAACAAAAGTTTCTAAACATTATAAATTTTGCCTCATTATTGAATTCTCCAAAGATGTTTCTTTCAGTAATATGAGAAAATTGTAATATTACTACTAGCATACACATAGGGAACTAAGATTAATGGGTGAATTTGTTTTAATTTTTCATGTTAACCAAAGGGAGTTCTCATCTGGTCATCCTAGAATCTGCATCTTGATTGGCCATTCTTTGGTCCTCTTTTTTGTATTTTTTTCATTTGCAAAAATTCAACATACATATGATTCTTGCCATCTATTTTTTTAAAATATCATGTATTTTCCTAAAAATCTTCATTTTATAAGCTGATTTTCAGGAGTCCTTGAGCTAAATTTAATGCAAACAATATCTTTGAATAACTCAACTTCATATTTGACATAAATTTGGGCAACCTATATCCAAAAGAACTATAAATTTGTCTGCTTTTGTCATCAACACTCTTTACCATTCTTGAGATTTTGTAGTTATATTAAAGATTTACTATCTGAAACACATATACTTCTGTTGCCAAAATCTTATCCATTCTTATCTAGAACATAATGTAGACAGAACACATTTGGTATTAGATCTACAGTATTTGTCATTGCTGTTTTAAGCAAGGCTATTTAATATTTTATCTAGTTATTTTTTTAGCAAGAAATTTTAAAACGTACTGTAGTATCTCTTCATAATCATAAATGTTCCCTTTTGAAAGGAAAAATTACGTTATTAATTCACTGTTCTATTCATCACAAATTTTGAGTTGTTTTTAATTTATTTGATTTGTGATAGATTTGGTCTCCATCACCCAAAAATTTCACACTCATTTTCCTTCATGATGGAAAACCCCCCACCTGCAAAATGATTTGCACTATTGAGTAAGTTTTCTATTGTTACCATAACAAACTACAATAAATTTAGTGGCTTGAAACAACAAAATTTTGTTATGTTAAAGTTCTATAACTTAATGTCCAACATAGCTATCAGTGGGATAAAATCAAAGCATCACCATAGTTGTGCTCCTTTCTGAAGGCTCTAGAAAGAATCCATTTTCTAGTTTCTAGAAGTTATCGTCACTACTTGATACAAGGTCCTTTTCTTCTGTCTTTAAAGCCAGCAGTGGCTCAACCTCCTCTTCTGCCTCCCTTTTCCACATTTGAAGATCTTTTTCCTTGGACCTGCCCACATAATTCAAGATAATTCCCCTTCATTTTCAGTGGCACTAGGGATTGAACCCAGGAATGTTCTACCTCTGAGCTGCATCCTTGACCTTTTTTATTAGTATTATTTTATTTTGAGAAAGGGTCTCTGTGTTGCCCAGGCAGGCTGGAATTTGGAATCGCCCTGCATTTGCTTTCTGAATAACTGGGATTATAGACATGTATCACCTCACAAACTAATCTTCCTATTTTAAGTGTAACTTTTTACATCCTTAATTCCAGCACTACCTTAATTTGGCATGTTAGATTATATATTCATAGGTTCCAGGGATTACTATATAGACATCTTTGGGAGTCCATTATTCTTCCAACCACAGTATAGTCTGCATAAATGAAACAAAGCAAAACTTAGTCTATATGGCATTAAACTCAAAATATCCACATTATTATTGATTATTATTGATATAGCTCAGGCAGAGAAAGCCTTCTTTTAGCTTTTTAGTTTTATAATTTCCAAGAGTCAATCAAATCCTCTCTTGATAGTATTAATTATTATTAATGATAGTGATGAGGTATGAAATTATAGTTATTATTTATGAGAAACAATATAATAGAATGGCAACATATTCTAAAAGACTGAGAATTACCAGACCATGTATAGGGTTAATTTAGTCACCTTTCTTCAGAATAAGAAAGTTAAGTAGTATGAAACCTTATATTTTTCTTTCTATATGAAGAAATTAACTAAAGTCATTCAGATTTTTGAGGTTCTTATTTTAATGTATTATTTTTAAAATCTTATTGTTTTATTTCTTAAAAGTACATAATAAAAAAGTATATTAAACTACCGAATCTAATACCTCAGATTCAGAGAAACTAAGGACTTAATATTTGGTTCAATCAAAACTGAAATGAAGCTGGGCACAGTGGCACAGCAGCCTATAATCCCAGCGGTCCTGGAAGCTGAGACAGGAAGATGGAGAGTTCAAAGCCAGCCTCAGCAGTATTGAGGCACTAAGCAACTCAGTGAGACCCTGTCTGTAAATGAAATACAAATTAGGGCTGAGGGGCTGGAGTTGTGGCTCAGTGTTAAAGCACTTGCCTGGCATCTGTGAGGCACTGGATTCAATTTTCAGCACCATATATAGAAAAATAAATAAATAAAAATAAAGGTCCATCGACAACTAAAATATATGTATTCATATAAAATTAAAAAAAATAGGGCTGGGGATGTGGATCAGTGGCCAAGTGCCCCTGAATTCAATCCCTGGTAACCGCCACCCCCCCAAAAAAACTGAAATGATACTTTTATTAAACAAATCATAACTTAATTAAAAGGATGAGAAAAGAAGTTTGTAAAGTCTGTTGTGTAACATAACTGAATAGAGAAGTACTTTAATATGGTATGTTTATCTTTCTCTATTTTGAGGGTAAAAGCTTTACATTCTTTTCTATATCCCTGACCCAGGATTGTTCTAGGTCAACATAGTCTAATAGATGTATAACACAAAAACTATATAACACATAATTTTAAATTTTCTAGTAAAAATTTTAAAAAATACAAGGAAATATGTTAAAATAATTTTAATGTCATATTTTTCATAATTCCATATCTAAAATATTAGACCAACATATGTATGAGGTTCAAAGTTTCTTTTCTGATAATATTTATTGAAATTAAAGAGTATTTCTTTTGAATTAGAAGATTTAAGCTGTAGTAGAATTTGAAACCTAGATATCTTCGAGTAGTTTTCCATTGTGTATAAAATGATTTGTGTCGAATTTGCTGAGTATAATCCTTGTTCTCTACAGTTTTATTATAGTAAGGTAGTTTAGATTCTCACTTATTTAAAAGAAAAAATGTGTATATTTGTGTATTATTATATTACATACATATAGAAACTTTCCTTTTACTAATAAGTGATATTAGTAAAGTCAGAGTAACTTCGAGTGCTTAAGCTCAAGGTCTCTGAATGCATTTCCAGGAAATCAAAGTGATTAACTCATAAGCGATTAACATCTAGGCATATTACTCTCTGTCGATATATATTTACTGTGTATATTTTTCAGAAGTAGAACAATCCACTCATCTGTATGGAAAAAATTTTAGGCAGAAAACGTTCATCAAAGATCTCTGAAACTGTCTTTGGAAATTCCTTTAATACTATGGTATTTGTGATCACTTAATAACTTTACAGCAGTGTACAGACCTTGAACCTATAGAATTCTCCATTGACTATTAGTAGAATAATTTACCAACAATACTATTACCATACCTAACCTTTGAAGTTCTCTTATAAATTACTACCTGCCCCAATGTCAAACCTCTGTCAACACATTCTGAGTTTTTCATTTCCATGGATCATTTTTTCTTCTTTCATGCTGCTGTTGGTCCTAATACTTTTCATGGGGTGTGTGATTTGTATTTTCTCTTTCAGTTTTATTCATCTTATCCATCAGTTCATCCCATATTAGAATACAGATATCATTTTCTTTTCATCTTCAATTATCTATACTTTATTCCATCGTAAATTGTGTCTCTTCTTAATGTTATTTTCAACCTAATCACTGCTTTTACATTAATAAGAATTGGTGAAATTAAACTTGGAACACCTCTTAAAAACTAAAATACCAGGCATACTTTACTTCAGGAAGAATTAACTGGGCTAACATAAGCCCTAGCTTGTTTATGTGATCTGTTGATAGCCTAGATTTGTATGATGTACTGAAATTTATAAATTTAAATTTATAAATGTTTAAATTGGTTTAGTTAGTGTAGGATCATTTCCCCATACATGTTAGCAAATTTATCTAGTCTGATCAACTTTCATTGATCTTCAATCTAAATGGACAAATTATCTTTCTTTTGCTATTTCTTGAACTTAAAATATAGGTACTCAATAAGCTAATAAAAACTTAAATAGAATCTGTTAATGTCTTGGGAGAAAATTCAGAAAAGAAGGCAAGGTTCAGGACATAATCAGATGTGGTAGAAAACTGCCTTTGTAATGAATTAAAAGTATCTGATAGGAAGAAATCCTTTTCTGTTATTCTTTATATTAAAAGATACTGCTACTTTGCTGTCAGTTTAACATTCATTTTAGATACATTTTTCTTGAGGATAATGATAAATTTGCTAAGAATATAATAAAATGCTGGAAAGAAGATTCCTGTAACAGTTTCAGTGTAGATTAGGTAGACCTAAGAATTACACTTAAGCTAACCTTTTAAAGCTACTTCATCGAAGCCTGCCTCCTTACACATTCCTATCACATCTGATTTTAGCAACTTTGTTTTCAGTAATCTGTTTATAACCTATATTGTAATAATTTGATATTATCTTCTTAATGTGTGTTGTAAAAAGACCGAAGAATTATCTAATATTGTACATGTAAGGATGTGACAGATATTTTAAACCTTAATAATACACCCAGGAATATTTTGCCAGAAGCATATTAAATACATCATCATTATCAAAAACATAGTTTTATAATTTTGCTTTTAATCTCTACCACTCCTACTCCCTGTCTTCCACACATAAGTATCTGTCTGAGACAGGTCAGGGTAATGGGAAAATTTATCTGTTTTAAAATCCTTGACCATTGTGTGTGTGTGAGAGAGATATATAAATATGTAAATTTTTATTTATTTCACACACACACATTTTAACTGGATAAGTAAGAAGAAGTTAATCTTGATTGTTCATTTTCATTAGTTTAACTTTTGTTCCTCACTTAACATTGTTTAATTTTAAAATGATATTTAATTATAATTGTGAAAAGCAAACTTATGTCTCTTCTTTCAGACAGTCTTTATCTCTTGCAAGGTTCAGTAGTGACAGATCATGACTACATTGGATTGCCTGAAATTCCAGTTGGAGCATACCAAGCAAATATTCTGGTAGAAGATGCACCTATTGGTATAGTTGACAATGAGTTACTAACATCAAACAAGGATCGTGAACTGTTAGAATATAGAAATGCCAAAACCTCTCCATTGATAGAAGATCATGGTACTCTTGAAAAGCAGACTTTCAGTCTGTTGGACACTTCAAACCAAGTTCTTGAGTACTTAAGTTAGTAAATACCAAAATTAATTTTAAGTACTTATTTAGAATGTATAAAACCCCTTGAGTCTTGATATTTTATCTATTAAATTGTATAGAAGTATCTTGACACTCTGAAGGCAAAATCCTGAAAGTTTGTTTTATAATGGTTTATTTATATAAAGTTGTGCTACATTTGAGTATCAGTATGTGTGTGTGTGTGTGTGTGTGTGTGTGTGTGTATATATATATATACACACACATGTGTGAAAAAATTCAGTTTTTATTTTAAATAAAGAATGGGTAAAGCACCTTTGCTTGTTATGAATTAAATTCTAGTTCAAAACTCTCAAATTTTGTCTGTTATTGGTATTGCATTTTCAGTTTTAATTTCTCTCCCTTTTAAAACATAAATTTCAACTACCTAGAATGGGATTAATAAATATTGGATGAACTGTAACATTAATGAAATAAAACTGCTTTCTTTGTCATTTGAGTTTCTAAAAACAATATTGTGGAGGAAAATTAGGGTTGCTTAATGGGTTTTTCACAATATTGATAATTTCAAATTATCTACTTTGTTAGATAGGTTCAAGAAACTATATGTTTGTTTGAAAACATTTGTTCATTTCCATATTATTTATTAAAATCTAAAGCATCCATTATAAGATTTTTTTCTGCAGTCTTTAAAAAAAGTAAGTATGAAACTGTAATGTATGATTTCACAACTTTGTTCAACAAGTATTATAAAGCACCATGTGAAGCAATGTGGGCAAATTAAAAGGTGAATAAAATGTGTACTTCATCCTTATAAGGGACTTAATGCCCAGTAAGGAATATAGACCATATAAGACATGTACAACTCAAATTATAAATAAGAAAATTGCTAAATTCCATAAGACAAGTACAAATAATATACCTGTGAAGGCAAAAAAAAAAAATGTTTCTGGATAGAAAACTTAGATTTATCCTCATGGAAAAAGGATTATGCAGGCTAGTCCTTAAAAATGGATAGTATTTGGTGAGTGAGTACAAAAGAATTATAGCAAAAGATATGTACAAAGAGAGAAAAGTATTTCAGTTATATGCAGAAGTTGTCTTCACTGCCTTGATATGGGAGATAAAGATGAAAAAGTAAGTAGGAAGTCTTGTGGAGAACTTTGAATACAGTTAAGAAGGAGTCCTTAACCCTCATAACCTCAGAATGTGACCTGATTTAGAAATAGAGTTATTACAGATGTAATTAGTTAAGATGAGGCCTATTGAACTAAGATGGGCTATAATTCAATATGACCAGAGTCCTAAAGGAAGTTTGGACACAGACCCAGGGATTGACTGCAAACCATAGAAGCTAGAGTAAAGGGTTCCATACAACACTCCAAAATAAGCCCCTCACCTCAGACTTCTTCCTCTGGAACTGTTGAGACAATGAAATTCAGTTGTTTAAGTCACCCAGTTTGTAGTACTTTGTTGCAGTAGCCTTAGAAAACTAATACAGATGCCTAGCAAAATTATTTTCTGAGAGCAAAAACTAATGAAGGTCTTTGCATAGGTGCATGTCATGATAAGAACTGTTTTAGAAAGATTTAATCTGAAAGCTTGTAAGGAAAATTTTAGAGGATGAGAGAGAGAAAAAAAGTCCCATTTTTTTGATAGATTGATACGATTTTGTTGTGAAGGTGAGTAATAAAAACCTAAACTAGACCTATAGCATTGTTATGAATAGAGTCTATCTTAAGGTCATTATCAAATATCTCACACTATGTGATATTGAAAATGAATATTTGGGGTATACTTATTTAACTAATGTCTAATATAGGCTGAAGGATAATTGATTAGGGGGGAAAGGTCAGTCTAGCACCTCATCTACAGTCCAAATAATAAGTTTCAGGTAGAATTCTAGAAAGAACCTTTAAGAAACCATAATTTTCATAGTTATATTAAACAGAGATACCTATCTTGCTCCTATCAGCAGAGCAAGGTTCATGATGAAATTCAGTATTCGTATTATATCCTCTCCTTCATAAATATAAGTGATTGCATCCTTTTCTTATCTCAAGTGAGGTGACTTTCCTTCAGTGATCTTCTGATTGAGACAGTCTTTTGTTTTTTCCATTTTAAGAGATCAATTAACATCAGAGTCATTTTAGAATTACAAAACTTAAAACTGTTGAAAAAAATCCCACCTCTAAATAATTTCTCATCGAACAAACCTTTATCCTATGTATATATTATTCTGTTCCTGCAGTCTACTCCAAAAACTTAGTGACTTGAAACAGCAAAGTTTTATTTCTTCCCTCTTGGTTCATTAAGACCTTGTCACCATTTTTTCCCCCACATTTTTTAACTGGTGCATTATAGTTGTACATAATGATGGGATTTGTTGTTGCATGTTCATACATGCACAAGATATATCAGTATAATTTGGCCAGTATCGTTCTTGCCTCCATTTTTATTTTCACTCCTAAATGTGTGATAGTGCTCCACCCCTAGAGTGACACCATTCCACATGACAAAAAGGATAACATGGTGAACTAAGCACTAGGTCTTAAAAGACTTGTTGTGATGTTCTGCACATTTTTCTTATATTACAATGGTCAGAACTTGCGACTTTCTGCTAATGTATACAGATTTCCTTTTATGGTGATAATAGTGTTCTAAAATTAGTGATGATAGTTTACTGTGTGAGTATACTAAAATCCTATTGAATTGTACAGTTTAAGGGTGCTCCAGGATGGCTCCTGTGGTCCAGGGTTCAGGTGTTCCCAAGCAGTCATTGATACTAGACTGGCTCCATGGAGCCAGACCCCTGTGAACCTAGGTGCTAAGTTAGTCTACCTGAAGCTGCTACCACATAGCCCACCCAGAATTGGGGCTTTCCACATAGTCTATAAAAATGAAAGAGGTGCCTACTTCAAATGCACAGATACCAACAAAGACTACAAGGATCATGCATAATCGTGAAAGCATTATACAGAGAAGCAAAAGATGGCACCAATAGCTGACTCTAAAGAAAAGGATATATATAATCATGCACACACACTGCCTGACAAGAGAATTCAAAATGACTTATCTAAAAGAATCTCCATGAGATACAAAAAAAGGAGGAATCATACATGAAAAAAAAAAAAGGTAATTAACCAAACAAATTCTGGAGCTGAAAAACAAATGTGTTAGGGAATTTCCACAACAGAATCAAAGAAATGAAAGAATTAATGATCTCAAATACAGGTCATTTGAAATTCCCATCAGAAGAGAGTGAAGAAGAGAAGGATGCCTCAAGTGAATCAAAATATGTATATGGGAGTTGTAAAAGGAACAACAAAACAGAAAGGGAAGGAAAAGTTCCCATACTTGGAGAGGGAAATGACTATCTAGATTCATGAATCCCAAAGCACTTCAGATGTATTAAACGGATCTTCAGAGTGTATCAATCATATTCTAAAAAGTCAAAGATAATTTTGAAAGCAGCCAGCAAGAGAAAAGCAACTTGTCATATATACATAGCAATGGCACAAAAACCGACATGTAGACCAAAGGAACAGAATAGAGAGCCCAGAAATGTACCTCTGCGTTTCTGGTTAATTGATCCTTAACAAAAATTCCAAAACCACACAATACAGAAAGTCCAGTCGTCAGCAAATGATATTGGGAAACCTATACATCCACATGCAAAAGAATGCAAATTCTTGTACTATATAAAAAATCAACTCAGAATGGATAAAACACCTAAAGTTGAATATACTAAAATGAAATGGAGATATCATCATCTGATAAGGAGTTAGTGTTCAAAATATGTAAGTAACTCAGTGGCAAGAAAGAAACTTGATTAAAAATTGGACAAAGGTCCTGAATAGACATTTCTTCAAAGAAGACAAATGAATAACAGATATGAAAAAATGTTCAACATCACAAATCAGAAAAATATGAATCAAGACCACAATGAGATATCTCACAGTTGTTAGAGACTATTATAAAAAAAGGCAGTAACTGTTGATGTGGAAAGGAAACCTTGTACATTTTGGTGACAAGGTAAATTGGTGCAGCCATTATGAAGAACAGTATAGAAGTTCCTCAAAACTACTGTGATCCACAATCCCCACTTCTGGGTGTACTATCTGAAGGAACTGAAATCAGTATCTGGAAGAGATATCTGTTCTCCCATATTCATTGCAACACTGGAATCAACAATGTCCATGAGTGAATGCATGGGTACAGAAAATGTGATATCTGTGCATACAAAGGGATATTTTTCAGCCTTAAAAAATGAGAATTTGCTGGGTGCAGTGGCACATGCCTGTGCTCGCAGAGGCTTGGGAGGCTAAGGCAGGAGGATCAAGAGTTTGAGGTCATCCTCAGTGACTTAGCAAGGCCCTGAGCAACTTAGACCCTGTCTCAAAAAAATAAAAAATAAAGGACTGAGTATATGTTCTCAGTGTTTAAACACCCCTGGGTTCGTGTTGGGTGTGGATGAAATAAGAGAAATAAGTCAGACACACAAATACACATATTGCATGATCTCACATGTGAAAACTATGAGAGTTAAAATAATAAAAGCAAAATGGTGTTTGCCAGGGGCTGGGAGCTGGGGAAATGTGAAGATGTTTGTTTAAGGGGACAGTTTCACATAAGTAGGAAGAATAAATTCTAGAGGTCTGATGTACAGCACGGTAGCCATAACAATATTGCATTGTTAAGAGACATTTAAGAATGTTCATACCACAAATGTACTTGTTAACTATGTGAGGTATTATGTTAATTAGTTTGTAATCATTTTACAATGTATGCTTATATCAAAACATCACATTATACACTGTAAATGTTTGCAATTTTTACTTGTCAATTATACTTCAAAGCTGGCACATAAACTTAGAGGGGTAGTAAAATAATTCTGGATTCTACAGCAACATATTAAGATACAAAGCAGCTATAGAAACAACTTCAAAGTTACCTTTTTATCCAAACAGCATTAGATCCAGATCATGATTGATACTTATTCATGAAGCTCCTGAATATATATATATTTAAAGTTGAATTGATGGTATGTGAATGAAATATCAGTAAAGTCCCAAACCACAGATTAAAAAAAAAATAGCCACACTTAAGACTAAAGGACAGGTA